TCGTAGTCAGGCGTCGTCGAGCGCGTGATTCGCCGCGTGAGGATCTGGGTAAACTTTTTCATTCTATGGTGGACGGTTGGCGCAGAGATGGGGGTTGATGAGAGAGGCTCGGTTCGGGTCTATTCGTGGTGATTCTCGTTTCAATGCATGAATCGTCACTCGGTCGCAGGCATTTCTCTATTGGGCCGTCGATCGATGCGTATGTTTCTCTAGGTTGGCGTTGTTGTGAATGTATGTTGGTGTACGGAGTTTTCAAAGAGCCGGACAACCCCCCCGTTGAAGATAGTCGATAGATAAAGTGATTGATAAGGCCCAGGAACAAGGAAGAAAGTAATGGAAAGGGAAGCGAGCTAATGAATTATCCGTCAATTAATTAATTGATCAATCGATCGAGCAAGCGAGGAGGCAGGCAAGCAGGCGGATCTAACCAATTGACGGACGGCAATTATTGAATCTATGACGGGGTGAGAAGCAGCGGTGCAGTCGGTAGTTATTGTGGTGTGAGCCAACAGCGAGGAAAAAAGGGGATCGCATCCCAGAACGGACCCTTGATCAGGCGGCGGCCCGCAAAGAGCGTGCACGCGACCAGAGCATTATTACGACCGCTACGTGCTAAGGCCAGAGGGATATTGCGTTGGGGACAGAGTCGGCGCTGGTCCAGGCGGGCTGTGGGGGGATTGACCGGGTAGTGCGCCAGTCAACTGCCCATCCAATCCGTCGACGGCAGCGGCGGTGATGACGGGACGATGGACGACGAGATGAGTGATGCGCGGTGTGTGTGGGCGCATGCAGGAGGCAATCGATGCTCGATGCGAATTGGCTGCCTGCAGTCGAGCGCCTGCTGTTCTGAGAGGTACCAGCCTGTCAGAGCCGTCAGTGGTCGCACACAGCGCCACGTTGTGCCCCTACCAGCCGATGCCTCCTAAATCCTTCGCCGCTACCATCTGCGATAAACGATGGCCTGCCACCCCGTCACTTACCACCCTTTATTTACGGCACTTTGCTGATGTGTATATACCATCCGCTCTACTGTGAGGCTTCATGCCGCCTCCAATACGAATACCACCTAGAACGTGCCCTGCACAATATTTGCCCATACTATGTAATAAGCCACGGTAGGCATGTGCACCCATTAGCAGCACAAGTGGGAGAGGGGGAGGGGTGGAAATGATGGTTCCGGGGGCCTGGCACACTGACGACCAGATTTCCACCCATCTCCAGGGTTCTTAGCTGAGTCTTGCGCTGAGGAACGTGGCTACCTAATTAAAAGCGCCAACTCCCGACATGCACATGCAGCACACACCACTATTAATAGGTTATATTACTGATCGTGTTTCTTGGTTTCCTCCTGTGGAAGCCAGGTACGTTCGTCTTGTGCATGTCACGGCCACAATACTCCGCCTGTTCAAAATGAGCCGGATGCTTGCTCTTAAGCCGAGATGGATCTCACGGCAGAAGCCTCTTGGCATTGCCGTGGGGTAGGCGGCATTCAGTACGACTGAGGAGTGTAGACGCTGTTAGGTGAAAGATCTCTGTTTCGATCTAAAGTAGTCAAGATGAGAAGCAAATATACGTAGATACTATAGCCGTTGAACTTTTCCTCCATTCATATCCTCGCGATAGTCCCACCCCCACTCGGTGCTTTGAAGCCTCAAGAGAGAGCCCAAAAAAAGTAGCCACGGAAATTTCATAACCCGCTCGCTCAGTGAGTGAATCGCTACATGTCATACCCCTTATGCATATGCCAAGGTCTGGTCACCCCTAATCCTCCCGTTCACACCAAGGCTGGTTTCACCACCAGACACGGCGGGTCCGTTGACAATGATCTAAGAAACTCGTATTAGTTGTGATCAAACGTAACATGTTTGGGCAAAAAAGACACATACCTCGCCCTCAGACTTTTCGTCGGTAGTTCGTAAAGCCCCGGAGTCTCTGAGGCGCACCTCAACGCTGGTGAGAGGTGCCCCAAAGTGGCCCGTGCCGTCGGCATCAACCCGGTAGTCGAAAAATGCCGTCTGGGCAACAGCGCCGGCAACCTTGGCCGCTGTCAAGGCGTAAATGACTCGTGCGCCAGTGAAGATTCGCAGATCAGATAGTACTTGGGAAGACAGGTGAGGGGTACTGGCCCCGGCCCGCTCCGCGACATAGATGAGACGAAGGGATGGGGAAGAAGCACCAATGGTGGGACGGGACGCGGCACTGAATCCGGAGAAAGCGTTTGAGGTCGAGAACACGCCATCCAGGGCAAGCTGGCGAGTAGCCAGCGTATGGGAGAGATTGCCAAGGCCAGCAAGCTTGCTGGCGCTTTCCTTGTGCGACTTGAGAAGGGTCTCAGGGGCAGCAACAATTACTGTGGGAGCAATACCCTGCGTAGCAAGGACCAGGTCGGTAGACTTTCCAGCAACCGAGTTCAAAGCGATGGAGGCATTCGAGTAGAGTGCGGCCAGTGTCAAGGTCAAGGTGTGCTCATTCGCAAGAGAAGTGGCAGGTAGGAACACATCAGTAGGACCAAGGCGCGCCTTGGGCGGCAGGCTGGCGAGTTGCCCGGCGATACCAGAGACCAGATTGGCTTGGCTGAAGCGAATCATTTCTTCAATTTGACCGGATTTAGTCTGCCAGAATACCACAACGTCCTTGGGGATCTTGCTTGGGTCCGAGTCTAAAGGAGGTAGCTCACGGCCAGCGTCAGCTGGGGCGTCGTTGACAATGTCCTGCCAGGTTGCGACGTTCACGCTGCCGCCCGTGCCCTCAGGGACCTCATTCCAGTCGAGATGGCTGCTTCCCTCGTCGACAACCCAGATGAGTTGCCTTAGGGCCGGGTATGCCGCGACAACAGTATCGAAGGGGAAAGCGCCGGGGGCTGTGACCACGGTATCGGCGGCAGAACGACGCAGCATGGAGACAAGCTCATCCTTGGACACGTCAAAGGGGATCAGAATGGTCGTCAGGTTGGGATAGAAGCTGCAGGCGAAGAGTGTAACAAGGAGCTCGATGGAGTTTGGCAAGTAAATGGCAACCCTGATGCCTCCCTGTTCCGCAATGTGCTGTCCAATGAGATTGATCTGACGGGTAATATCCTCTGGGTAGAAAATTTCATGAGCCACTTGATATCATCTGGAGTTTGGGGTTTGCAGCATACGTACCTAGCTTGTGCTCAATCTTTCGTTGGGATCCAAGGACAGTCCACAACTGGCCTTTGGCGCCACTCTCGCTCCCTGCAACCGCTTTCCTCCACACATCTCTCAGATCGCCATCGCGACCTCTGGTCCACTTTGACGCACCAGGATCCTTGACCCCTAGGCCGCTGTTCAGAGGCATCCCATGAGGGGCAGCTTGCGAGCGGTACACAGGACTCTCACCCTCCTGGCGCACTGGCGATGCCAGCGACTGCCTGGCGAGGAGCATTGGGTGGACATCTGGCTCCGTCGCAGTCAGAACTCGGTACCCAACGAGGGCGATCAGAACCGTCACGATTCCGGTGGAGTAAATGTTCCACTGCCCTGCCAGGTCCCCGAGGCCGGCATCGAGAGACTCGAGTAAACCCATCGCGTGTGCCAAATGCGCGCGAGGCAGATTGGTTGTGTCGTGAGGTAGGGACGGGAGCGGCGGCTAGGTTGGGGTGTCCGCCTTTGTTCTAGCCACGTGCTTTGAGAGGAGATCAACGTTGGACGAGGCCCCGAAATCACAAATTTGATTCGGACGGGGGAATTTTGCGAGAAACCGAGGCTCCGAGCGGTCGTGAACGGGAGCCTGCACACGGTGTTGCGGGTTGTTGGAGGATCGTGAATTGTGATGCGCGGGCAGCGGGGCATACAAATGGGATCAGATAGGCGCCCAATACCCCGGCGGACTGCCAACCAACCCCAGTCGGCGGCTTTCGTCATGGCATTCAAACCCCACTTGGTCCTTAGAAAGAGCCCTGGCAGAAAATCGGCATCCTGAGCATGAGGAAATTCGGCGCGGTTTACCCAGATGGGACCTTTTCAGCATACATTCACATTTGTAAGGCAATGGAGAAGTCGGATGAAATCATCAAAAGTTTAGAATTCCAATTAGATAATAACCTTTACTTTTTTTGTCCTAGGACTTCTCAGCCTCCTCTGGTTTGTCGTTGTCCATCTATCACGGGGACAGAATTCGTAAATCTCGTGGCCTTGTCCTGTCTTCCAGGCTGTGATGTAGCAGCCCTCCCAGCTACATCATGACATGCCTCCAGTCCTGGCCAAGAATGACCTCCGAAAGAGCAAGATGAGCTCCTGATCGACTCCGCCCCTGACCCTAAAAATCATAATCTCATATGCTGGGCGGCTTCGACCGAGCTCCTTGTGCATGAAAAAACAGACTTAAAACCCGTCTGCTGACCAACCATCCGTCCATGTGCCTAGTCTATGCTCATAGCCCCATATATCCATCCTTCACCTTGGGGACCGTCGAGCACATTCGACCAGAGAACCGAGTAACCCCATTTTGTCTATGTTTGCACGGCGATGCTATGACCCTCTATCGTGAAAGCGAGAAAATGTCCCTGTCAGGGAAACCCTGATAAACAGCAGAAACATGAAAATCGTGAGGCTCTTTGTTCGGATCTAGATCTTTGCTAGATCCACCTAACACCACGATTCTGCCGGTGTTTCTTCAAGTTCCCCCAAATCTCGGTCTAAGGGTATCATTCGAGAGTGGTTTCGAAAATCAAAAGAAATGCAATCTATCACATACTTCGTGAAAGGCCCTAAAACCATTGCTGCTTTTCGCCAGCTTGTCAGGGCACTGATACCGCCCTCATAGGTCATAGATGTTCGCCGTGTCGTGAGAGAACAAAAGAAATAAGAAAGAAACAAGAAAACAGATGCAAGTGATAAAAAAAGATAGCGAAATCAAAATGATGCCGTCATCATCATCATCATCAATGATGCGGCAGATGTTTTGTCGCATGCAGAGTAGCGACAATCGGTCGCCATCGTATCGGCGGGATAGGGCGACCCGAACACCTGGTTGGATTTTTACCACCAGGACGACTGGCTTCCGGGACCACCAGGGTTGCCGTAGCTGCCGCCAAAGTTGCCGCCGCCGCCACCACCACCACCGCTGTAACCGCCGCCGCCGCCGCCATAGCCACCACTCTGAGGAGGTCCGTTGTAGTTGCCGCCAAAACCGCCGCCTTGAGGGCCGTTGAAGCCGCCACCACCTCCGCTGTTACCACCAAAGCCACCTCCGCCAAACTTACGGAAGTCGCGGTTGGCACCGCCGCCACGTCCCCCACCGCCACGAGGTCGGCCACCGCGGCCACCGCCGAAGGATGATTCGCGAGCGACAGTCTCGAGGAAGGCTGGGATCTCCTGGTTGGCTTCCTTGAGGAGCTCCATAAGCTCTCTGACGACACCACGGTTGCCACGGTTGAAGAAGGCAGTGGCAATACCCGTGTTTCCAGCACGACCAGTACGACCGATACGGTGAACGTAGTCATCAATGTCAGTAGGCAAGTCATAGTTGACAACGTGGGTGACATTGGGGATATCGAGACCACGGGCGGCAACGGCAGTGGCAACGAGGATGGGGCAGCGTCCATTTCGGAAGAATTCCAGGGCACGCTCACGTTCACGCTGGGTACGATCACCGTGAATGGAGGTGGCAGGGAAGTTCTGGTTAATGAGGAAGTCGGAGAGAGAGTCCGCCATGCGCTTGGTCTCAACGAAGATGAGAGTCAGGCCGCCGGCATGGGTGTGGAGAATATCAAGGAGGACAGAGCGCTTGTCAACGTCTTCGACGTATTCAATGCGCTGAGTAATGTTCTCAGAGGTAGAACCGACACGACCGACGGAAAGGAAAACGTAGTCCTTAAGGAAGTCCCTGGCGAGCATCTGGATATCGCGGGGGAAGGTGGCCGAGAACATCAGAGTCTGGCGGTCGGCAACGGCAGGCATATCCTCACCCTCGACAATGCGGCGGATTTGAGGCTCGAAACCCATGTCCAACATACGATCAGCCTCGTCAAGAACCAGGTACTTGATGTTGCAAAGGGAGATGCGACCACGCTCTATGAGATCGACCAATCGTCCGGGAGTAGCAACAAGCAGATCGCAGCCTCGCTCAATTTGACGGAGCTGAGAGCCAATATCAGCACCACCGTAGACGACGCAGGGTCGAACCCAGGATCGGTAGGCGAATTTTCGGGACTCGTCATAAATCTGAGAGACCAGTTCTCGGGTAGGGGCAAGGATCAGAGAAGTAGGGTAGGCCTTGCGCTGACGTCCGAAACCACCACCGCCACCGGCAGAGGCAGGGACAGGTGAAGGTCCGTTCAGGAATGCTTGAGAAAGGATAGGGAAGAGGAAACCACCAGTTTTACCCGAACCAGTCTGGGCACAGGCCATCAGATCACGGCCACCCGAGACAATGGGAATAGAGTACTTCTGGACAGGTGTGGGGACCTTGTAGTGAGCGAGCTCAATGTTGCGGCACAGATGCTCATCCAGAGGAGGACTAAGGAACTGGTTGACAGGCTCTGGCACGTCACGTCCAGAGGCCTCAACGGGAATATCGTCATACTTCTCGAAGTTGATACCAGTGTGTTGCTTGGAAGGGTCGTCGATGGTACCAAAGAGCTCACGCTCGACTCTGGGGTTGGCTGGACCGGGGATGTGCTTGCCGTCCCTCCACTGTCCGTCGCCGGAGCCTCGAGCAGAGTAGTTGCCGCCGCCGCCACCATGGCCGCCCTCATATCCTCCACCGTAGCCGCCACGACCACCACCACCGCTCCAACCACCGCGTCGGTTGTTGTTCTGGTAGTTGCCGCCGCCGGGGGCGCCACCGGGTGCACCGCCCTCTGGGCCGTTGCTCCAGTTGCCTTGGCGGGCAGGGAAGTTCTGGTTTTGACTGCGAAACATGTTAATACAAATGAATAGAGGTTTTGGATGGAATGGTTAGGCTTACCCAGCCCAGGAGCTGTTGCCCAGACCGTTGGGGGCTCCCTGAGCAGCCGCCGCTGGGGGAGGACCACCGCCGTTAACTGGGGCAGGTCCATTCGGCTGGCGGTTGCGCATATGAGGAGGAATGTAAGAGCGAGCTCCGGTAGGAGGGCCGCCTTGGCCCTCAGGGCCCAGGTTGAGCCCACCCATGTTGAGTTGGTCCGCCATATTCGATGATGATAGATGATGGAATGTTGGAAAAACTCAGTGGATCATGTACAGTTCGTGATGCAACTAAAGTGTTTCGTCGTGCAGTCACTCTCAGATGAAAGGAGAGTGAGAGAAGGAATGTAAAACCGAACGAGGTTTCAATGACGCGAAGCGAAAGCAGTGAAATGGAAAATGAGAGAAGATGAGAGTAACGGCTCTCTGGCAAATTTCCCTCTAACAAATTACTTTTTTCTTCGTCGTAAGGCAGGAGTTGGACGTGATACTTGCAGATTTCCCTCGAAGAACGCACAGACTCTTCAAAGAAAACAAACAAGAAAGAAAACGGAATGCCCTTGGAAATGGCACGGATGAGGGGAAAAGGGTTATGAGGATGTTGGGAAGGGGTTGTTGTGAGAAAGAAGAGGAAAAGGGACGATAAAAATCGGGGGGCAAAAGCGAAAAAAATTGGTCGTGTCGAAAAAGGCTAGTGGCACCAGCGCCGGGGCCGGGCGGTGAGAATTTTGGGCACGAGCCCATCGTCAACTGGAGGGGCTAGTGGTACCAGGGTACAAATCTTGGACAATTTGACGCCTGTCCATGTCTCCCTGGGGCGATCACTGGCTAACAGCAGGTAGGCGGTACTACAGGCCTCGTCAGCAGCGCTGGACCTCAATTGCACCTCACCAGCACCGACGTGGTTTCTGTCCGCTACCAAGTCTTCGCAGCTCGTGCGCAGAGGTATCTCGCAGCAACCAGGTGGGACCCGGCGCTGTTGCCACAGAGGGCAGATCGTTCTACGCCATCCCAGGGTCTTCGAGAAGATGTGCCTGGTACTTGCTACCTGGCGGCCCGCCGTCGAAGATGCCAGGCAGACAGATCCATCTCAGCACCCGACGTCAGACCCCCCCCGGTCTCCCCGGGCATCTGACCACCCAGCCATAGGGGATTAATCACACCTACGGGCGAAGTTGCATCATTGTTCTTTCAGCTAGCATCCTGGTATCCGGCAGAATTTGTCATTCGCCTCCTGCGTTGGTGAAAGCCTGCCTGACGAAAGTGTGCGCCTTGGACCAACTTCCACTCTGCCGGGAGCCCCATGCCTGTCAGCCAGATATGCACATGCAGGCTAGCTAGGTAAATAGCGGTAACTCGTAGCCATTGCACCATCCATGTGATAGTACCTACCTACAGGGCTCGAGAGACTTCCATGATACGCACCCAAATAGCGCGCCGATAGTACTCGAAGAGGTGCGCTCTAGCCTGGAACTCAATATCGGCAATTCCAAGAGACTTTCGACCTTGTTCGTTTTGGTCAACACTTCTTATCGTTGTACAAGAAGTGGCTGGTCTGCTTGGTAACTTGGCCAATTGACTTCCGCGTCAACGGTACCGTCGCATTGGCAAGACCAATATAGAATGTTTGGTTATAGGTGGTTGGATCAGGACAGCAGACTACCTTACCCAAGGGCTGATCCCCCTTTTTCGACACCCTTTCGCCCACGCGACTCCCTCCTTTTTGTGTGATCATATGGTGTAACACCCCTTTTCATCCAAACCAGCCACAGATGGAGGTTCGGATAATTTACGTCAAAAGAGCTACCCTGCTAGGAGAGATTTCCAACTGCATCCTACAAAAGTTCCGAAAGGCGGTTACTTATAATTTCGCTGTTGCCAACTCTGAGATATCTCAGGACAAGGATACTCGGGCAACGCAAACGGCAGTGGACATATGTTTGCCTAGGTAGATTAGCAGGGTGGCTGGATAGATGCAGAATTAACCAAGTGGGTGACACAACCCAGATGAAGACTCAAATAAGACCCAAATACACACCCAAATATACAAATAAGTACTTAATGCTAAGCAGAGGCTGTAGACTATATATCGATGTTCGTTTCCCTTTAATCTTGCCTTAGTAATTGCATAGCTAGCCATAGAAGATGGCTGACCAAGTAATTATTAGGAGAGTGCTTAAGTATGCCATTTCCTCCGTCACCTACTTGCGTGCTTCTGCTTGCCACCTGAAAACGGGGCAAGATATTAGAGACAAGAACTCAGCAGGCCTTCCAGAATACGTTCTACAAGCCCTCTAAGATCTTTCCCAAGCCTTGACGATAGCTCTGTACCCACATATATAGTAGGTAGAGAGATATCTTTAAGATGCATAACCTCCCCTGTAGGTATTTATGTCAAGATCCAACCATGGAAGATACATAATATTGGAGACTGTCCACTGCCACCTTGGAGCATATCAGCATCCTTGCGGCCACTCTGTCTATCCAAGGTCTCACCGCTCAGGTGGATTGGAGAACAGGGACTTGCACATTCGTTCTAAATGAGGCATCTGTTGTCCGAACGGCTTTTTCCTTTATATTGGTGCAGGAGAGATATCTATTCGAGGCAGCCTGTGCCGTTTCTTCAGACCCCACACAACGAATCATTGCACGTCAAGGTCATGCTGTATGAATCACCTTTCCAGCCTCCAATTAGACTAAAGTACATGTTGGCTAGCCTCCCGAGTTCACCCTCATACTCCCTCGTTCAAGGACACTTTACCACCCGGTCGTCGTCGAATTCTATGTCGACGATGCCGTCTGCCTTGACGGCCTTGACGACCATGCCCTTGAAGTCGATCGGTAACCTCCTCTTCAGCTCATCAACGCACATGGTTAGGAGCTTGATGCCTTGGCCTAAGGTAATATCGGGATGGTGATGCTTGTCCAGAAGCGACAGGCAGTAGTATCTTTGGAGAATAAGAGTTAGCTATCGGGCCCAAGCCAGGCAAAACATCTGGAGAAGAGAGCATGCGAAGGACATACTGTGCGTAGCCGTGAGCGGCGTAGGGCACGTCCACGAGCGAGGCAAGGTAGTCCAGCCAGTACAGAGCGGGCTTGCCAGTGATGGGGTCGACGCCACCCATGAGGAGGTTGACGTTATAGGGCTTTCGGGATCGTAGGCTCGATGCGAGCTCTCCGCGGACGAAGTGTGCTAGTCCGGAGGGTGACAGGTCCGTCTCGTTGCGCATGGAGTAGAGCTGTGCATTTCTCTGAATGTATTCGGCGAACTGGACTAAATATCACCACCACTCTTAGCATATCTTCCCTCCAAGACATCGACGGTGATGGTAGCTCATACCGGTGTCTCCAGGCTCCCCAGAGAATGCAAGGAGAGTGTGTTTGTTTAGCGCCCTTGTCTTGTCGTCGGATGCCTTGAAGGTGGTCGGACCTCGCATGGCAGCTTTGGAAGCTGCAATGAGAGTGAAGTCCTTGCCTGTGATGCCGAGTAGAACCTCCCTGTAAGAGTGTAAGCCCACATCGAGCGAGTTCAGTATTGAAAAGTGGTCCTTACATCTTGATTTTTGGGCAATGTTGCGATTTCGGTGTTGGTGGAGGGGTTGATGGGAGAGGCAGTTGTGTGGTGCTTTATCAGGATAGCTGCTTGAAGTCACCCAGAGCTACCATTAGGCTGTAGCGCTTGCGCGCGTCACTGTTGGTCGTAGCAGCCCGCCGCCTTCTCCCACGCACCCACCAGCATGCTCAGTGACCGCCTTCGCACCGGAAAAGCAAATGGCCGATCCTCGGGGTACGTACCTCGAGCTTGCGCTATCGATAAGCGGGATGGATTTTCGGTGGACCCCAATTCTGCACTAAGGAAAAAAAAAGTTGGAAGAACGACTGCTAAGAAAATTATCCTGTATCGGGCGGGATTGCCAGTGCCAGTACAGGCAATCTTCTTTTTCTTTACCCGCAACCATGTCTTCCTTTTTCACAGCCCCGAGCTCGCAGAAGAAGAGAAAGAGGCCCGTAGCTCCCGAGTTTCCCAAAAAGAGACTTGCCAATGGAGCCGGTCCAAAGTCATCCGGCAAGGCGCCTGCGAACCCCGCGAGCCGTCGTGAGGAGAGAGACGAGTCCATCTCTGGCAGCGAATCGGACGATGACGAGAGCTTCGAGGGCCTTTCCAATGCGTCCGGGTCCTCGGAAGCTAGCGACTCTGATAACGAAGGCGAGACCGCCGCCGAGAAGAGATTGAGACTCGCGGAGCGCTATCTGGAGAATGTCAAGGAGCACGTGGACGAGGCTGGCTTCGACGCGGCAGACATTGACCGAGATCTGATCGCCGAGCGACTGCAGGAGGACGTGGCAGAGACCAAGGGAAAGGTGTATCGCCAATTGGGCTCAGAGCTGGCTATAGACAAAGCTTCGCAAACTTTTTTCCGCACCAATACCGGCCCCGTTACCTCCATCACCTCCAGCGCGCCCTACTTCTACACCGCAACCAAAGATTTACACATACACAAGTGGAGAACCCAGGATCTCCCGCAAGATCAATACCCTCAGACCACGAAGCGAAAACCGAAGAAGCCACCCGCCCCCCCGAGAAAGAGACCGGAATTGGAGTCCTGGGTTAGAGGCAGCACTGGCAAGAAGAAGGAGAAGAACTACCAGAGACACACCGGCCCAATCCTGGCCATTGCTGCTTCGCCAGATGGCCGATATGTTGTCACCGGTGGCGCAGATAGAAAGCTCATTGTCCACGATGCCGAGACCCTGAAGACTGTCAAGGTCTTCAACCACCACCGTGATGCAATTACCGGCCTGGCGTTTCGGAGAGGAACGAACCAGCTCTACTCCTGTTCTAAAGACCGTACCGTCAAGGTATGGAGTCTGGACGAACTAGCCTACGTCGAGACCCTGTTCGGCCACCAAGATGAGGTAGTCGACATTGACGCTCTCGCCCAAGAGCGTTGCGTCAGCGTAGGAGCTCGTGACCGTACCGCCCGACTATGGAAGGTCCTTGAGGAGTCGCAACTTGTTTTTAGGGGTGGTGCCGTGGACAAGAAACCACAGCCTGGCGTCAATCCTCGCTCATTACTCCATGAGGGCAGCATGGATCGCATTGCCATGATCGACGACGATTTATTCATCACTGGCAGCGACAACGGCACAATTGCTTTGTGGAGTGTTCAGAAAAAGAAGCCTGTCTATTTGGAATCACTGGCCCATGGAGTTGACCCAGCTCCTGGACCTACAGAAGGGTCGGCTTCCGCGATTGCAAGTGATAATGTTGTCGCGGCACCTCCACCTCGGCCCATCACTGCTTTACGGACGATACCGTATTCAGATGTCTTCTTCAGTGGAAGTTGGGATGGCTATGTTCGGGTATGGCAACTGAGCGAGGACAAGCGAAGGATCGAATCCCTTGGAGTTCTTACCAGCCCGGAACCCAGCAAGGAGGCCAACGGGGCCACACCCAATGCCGGAGCTGCATCTTCCCGCCCTATTGTTGGTGTGGTCAACGGGATCACGGTGTTTGAGCGTGGCGACCGAGGAAAAGACGGGATTTGTGTTATCGCCGCAGTGAGCAAAGAGCATAGGTTCGGCCGGTGGAAGATTTTTGATGGCGCTCGTAATGGAGGAGTTGTGTTTGAAGTCCCCAGGATACGACCGCCTGTATCTGCGAATGGCGTTGATAATAGCACTGACGAGGAGGGCTGAATTGGGAGTACCGGGGAAAACATAGAATTATCACAAAGGCGTTCATAAACTATCATAGCTTGTAAATCTACCATCTCATGTCGTCTTTCAAATCAGTCAAAAGATTGAGCATCCTTGTACTCGTAGCCAGTTTCCTCCTATATCGGGGCCGACTAGTGCGCATTATAGTTCCTGCTTGTTGCTGCTCGATATGTATATGAAAATGATCTGTTTAGTGAACAACGTAAGGCTTTGTCATCTAAAATTCTTCTTCCGCTGATTCTAATTTGCTATTCTGCTACACTGGTAAAGAGAAGATCCATTTGTGATTGCACATGTACTCCCAGAGCTTTGGTTGTTGCAAAATATCCGAACAGCAGTTGCCCAGAGTTGGCACGAAAGATGGCAGACAAACACAACGTTGCCTTATATCGGACCAGTGGAACGGTTAATGCCGTCGTATTGTGGGTGCTCCGGGGCCGCGTCCCCCACAAGGACTTCTTTGATACCAGCGTGGGAAGACTCATGACTATGAGTCTTCTTTCTTTTCTTCTTCTTTCGATGCCTCTCATGAGACGGGGAATTTGCTTCCTCGCCGTCACTTGCCTCTACCGATATCTGAACAGGCTCCTCGACTAGGGTTTGACTCCCTGGTTTGCATAAATTCCCATTTTGTTCGATCCGTTGGGCGCTGTGGGAGACAGCGTTTGGAGAAACGGATGGCTGGTTTTTGCCTTTCATGGTATCCGTGGAGCTGTCTGTGAGGGGGCTAACGAATTTGAGCGGAGCCTTTTTCGCAAGATCTGATAACTTGGGTTGCTTGATTTTGGTTGGAGAAGCACTCGAGTTCCGACGGCTTGGACTCTCTACTAGAGCATCACTCGAGCTGTCTGGCAGCGGTTTAACAAACCGGTGTCGAGTGACTTCGACCTCGGATGTCTCTAGCCGTTCGATTTTTGCTGGGGAGGAGGCTATTTGTTGCCTCACCGGGCCGTTTGAGGTACCGTTTAACATGAGCGGGGGAGGAAACCCCGGAGATGACACAACCTTTGGGTTTTCGGATGCCGGCTGTCCAACCAGCGGACTTTGAGATGAAGTACGTTGAGTGGTAGGTCGAGATGATTGACTTGGTGTCATTGAGCCTTTCTTCTCCCGCCAGGCAACCCGTTTCGCTTCTCTCTCCCGGTTTATCTGCTCTTGTTGCTTTTTTTGCAACGCAAAAATAAGGTCTCTGATTTGATTCCTTAAGTTCGCAGGGTTGATATTCCAGTCAACACGCTCTTTGTGGAGTAGCTTGCGATACGCCTCATCTGGATCTTGTAGAAAGGCCTCCATGTATCCAAGCACAAAAACACCACAGTCACAGAAGTTGTCTTGTTCAGGAATGCCTTTCCCAGTCATGCCGGGAGGACTGGCGCTCAGTTCCACGCCCTTTTTGTCTTTGGCCTCTTCCCCAAGATATTCTTTGAGAATTTTGCAAGTGGGCGAGTGCGCTTTCCCCAGAGAGTCGAGCGTGATGATTCTTGGCTCAGAGGGGTCGAGTTTTTGGTTGATATTAGAAGTTGACTTCCGTGATTTCTTTTTTCCTGCCGCAAGTGCTGGTTCTGAGAGATCGGTTGTTTCATCTGCAATTTCCGCGGTTGGAGGGAGAGATGCAATATCCTCAAGCGAGATAGATTCAACACCACGTTCGACACTTGGCATCTGAGTCGAATCCCTTGTTGAGTCTTCGCCAAGATCATTGTCTCTTTGCGGAGCATTTATTCGGGGCCTCTTTTCGGCAGGTAAAGTCATTCCAGGATTGCAAATAATGGCCAAGTACCAATGTGCATGCTCGTTGACAGGGACTACAATGTAGTCATACGAGAATAGATCAATCTTAGCCGTCCAACTTTTTACGCCCTCGTATTTCTTTGCAGATTTCAGCGTCTCAAAAAAGAAGCTACTGAAAATATGTACCTTCTTTAGCATTGAAGAGCACTCGGCTTCAAGTTTAACCTGGAGATAGCGCAGATAAAAAGTGATGATGTTGTCATTGAGGAACTCGCCCTCGTCCAATCTCGGGATGTCGTCAGCATCTACTGTAGTCCGGTTCTTGCCAGTGGGGGGATACACAAGAGACTTGGTCCACGTCTCTCTCCAACTAGGATTTTTCGTGGTCCAACGATCAAAGAATTCTGGGGGGAAAATGGGGGAAGACTGTCTTGTTGCGCGCCTTCTTATCCGATATGACGGGGAGAGAGTCTCATCTGGCGAGATAGATTCAATGCCGAATGCACTGGATCTATTTGGAGTCTTATTGGATTCCTTAACAGAGCGCGCAAGTTTGTCTGTAAGTTTCTCTCGTTGCACCGGTTTCGCTTCCTCTATAAACCGGCGTACTGGTGATTGAGCTGAAATCTCGACCACAAAGTGCTGTCTCTCTCTTGATGATTTGGTGGTCGAACTATTGCTCTCTGAAGCATTGTTCTTATCAGCCTGTTTACGCGCATGCTTGAACGCTTTTTCTGGCTTTAACCTTCAAGGATCAATTAGTTGGCTTATGATTGACTCGTGATTCAGTTTGCAGAACTTACGGATCTTCTTCATCTATTATCAGTTCTATTTCTTTCCGGGGGAGCTGATGAATGAATCGTTGGCAACTTTGAGTATCTTCAAACTCAAGGTAAAGCTTTGGAGGTTGACTTGGGCAAAGAGACCTTGCTACGATCGCAAAGCGGCTGATTGGTTCAGCATATTCAAGTTTGAGGAATTTCTCGAAGTTCAACTGAAGCCATTGCACTTCGTCCTTTTCCTCCCCGAGCTGAAATTTGAACGATCTTTCATTTCCTGAATCACTTAAGAAAAACCTGTGTACTTGATCTTGCTTGGCTTCCCACGTGAAGTTGCCTGAAACGGCGCTTTTCAAGTGTATTGCAGACTCTTCTTTCTGGATTTTGCTAACCGAAGAATTCGCAGACTGAAACTTTGTAGATCGGATGTCACCTTTGTTCGTAGTTCGCACAGGCTTCCTCTCGTCAAAACTCGTAAAATTGGTCTTCTTCTTCGCATCCATGGTGTTATTATTGGAGGGAGCCTGTAGCTCGTCTTCAGACATAACCTCGATGGGTTCTTGATCAGCGCTTATTCTGGGTCGTTTGACCGGGGGTTCGGTGATTCCAGTTGGCCGACTTCGCTTCCCATTAGGTTGGTTTCCTAGCAGGTCAGACACCACGTTCGCCGGTGGGATTTCGGCTATAGAAAGGACATCTGGGCTGTCCGAATAGACTGAACGGCTCGTCGGGCTTTTGAGTCCGCCTGTCGTGAGATCCTCCTTGCTCATTTGTCGACTTTTTCGGACTCGGTACGGACGGCTTCGACTCTTGGTGTTGGTTGTGCGGAATTCTTGAACAGTGGCTGCGACTGTAGAGCTCTTCCCGACACTTGAAACACTTTGGATCTCGTGCGGGTCATCTTGCGAGGCAGAGTAGACGGAGGAAGGGATCTTCGGTTGGGGGGTCGGTGGAAAGAACGGCGACTTGTGGAGGGGACGTTCGGGCTCAGCCTCGGTTTTCTGCCGTTTGTCGGAGGATTCGTCAGTTGGCTTCGTATGCCTCGAACGACCTAGCGTATTCATGGGCCTAACAATACTTTCGCCGATTCTCTTCTGTGTGTATGTGAGCGACCTGAGCGGTGCTGTGTAATGTCTGTGGAAAGAGGAAGCATACCAGCGTGTTCATCTTGGCTGGAAAATCCCCTCCCGCACTCCCCTATCATTTGGTCCAGGGAACAATACCGGAGGCGTGATTCGGCAGGCTTTGGCTGAACAGGTCGGCAGCGGCACCCATTGTCTGCTTCGAATTGCCCACTGAAATTCGTAAGATCGCAACCAGTGGGTGCCAGTCTGACACAGAGGGGAAAGTCAGCCAGGTCCGGTTGGGCCAAACTAGATAGAGATATTATGCGAAATTTCGTGCGGCGGGAGGGACAAGAATCAGGATGGCTAGAGTTATGCAGGAGGTTGATCAGGTGGTAGAAGATTTAATCTTGGCCTTGATCGATGCAGCAATATTTTAGGTACTGCCTGGCGATCGTGCATGGGTCGGTCCTTCCATAAATGCGCCTGCTGTACACCCTAAAACCGTAAAGGTTAGTGGGGCGGGATGCTTGTTCCAGCGCCAGCCCACTGGAACCCACTAAGATAATACGCCCAAATGCGCCCTGCAAGTGTAAGTGCTGGCAGCCCGTTTGAAATTTATTAATTCTAGGTACATTTCGCCATTTCAGAGCCAGCACAAACCTTAGTACATGGCTGTAGTTGTTTGCATCTGAATATTACGTGTGCTTAGGTAGGTAGGCAGGTATACAGGAATACATGGTTGTTGTACGACGTGCAATTTTGAATATACATATGCGTACATCTATCGATATGGACAGCGGCCGCAGTAAGAAGCGCAATTCGCAAGAGGCGATCAGTATGACCAAGCGAACTTGCCCCCTCACACATAATAAAAACTTGAATCTTGCGACCTGTACGCTCTAAGTATTGAAACCAGTCTATTCGGTACTTGAATAAGCAGATCGCCAGGTCCCATATAAGTGAAGCTGGCCTTGAGTCTACAACGGGAAGCTTTGAAGGGTCGCGCCCCACCTAAGTCTCAAGCTACGCATCTTCCCCCAGAAACGTGTCCAGACACCTCAAACCTCCATCAGCGCAACAACGGCACCAGCCGGCCACTTACTCACATACGTTTTCTCTTCCACAAACATTTCCGATCCCGCCAATCGTCGAATGGTCCGCCGTGCTGCCGCCCACCATGCATAACACCCTCAACCGCTTCCAGTCGGTCTTCGGCTTCTTCACTACCGTCGCCTTCGTCCTGGGATGCTTCATCGCCGCCACCGACTTCTATGCCGAGCGCGCGCCCACCGGCACCCTCAAGGTCCAAAACCTCCAGGTCGTCAAGGGCCGCCCGCACTACTACTCCAGCGCCCAGGAGGAGTACGCAATCATCAAGTTCTCCCTCGACGCCGACCTGTCCCACCTCTTCACCTGGAACACGAAGCAGGTCTTCGTCTACGTGACGGCCGAGTGGCCTGCCGCGAAGGGCGGCGTGAACGCCACCAATGAGGCCGTCATCTGGGACTCCATCATCACGAACCCCAGCGCCGACCACTTGAAGAACATTGGCCCGGCCACCATGAAGAAGCTGAAGAAGTCTGCCCAGGGCAAGACGGTTGCTCCCGACAGGTATGTCAGCGGAATGTTCAACCCTGGACCACTGCACTACAAAAGCTAACTCATGCACTGTAACAGGGGCATTCTTTCTCTCCGAAACCAGCGACCAAAGTATCAGATTACACACCCTAGCAAAAAGATTGCCGACACCGAGAACGTGAAGCTGAAGCTACATTATAATGTCCAGCCCTGGTTCGGTGTCCTGACCTGGAATCAGAATCAAGACATTGGATTCTGGAAGGCAATCAAAGGAGGAGTCAGCGCTCCTTTCGCTCTCCCATCTATAAAGAAGAAGAATTAGGTGGCAGCGTGCTGAATTTGCAAAAGCGATCTGGGGTACATATATATGTGCGTAGGCGTTCGGGATCATGTCATTCAGTGTCTTTGTTGTGTAGAAATCAGGTATAAGTGCCAGAATTGATTCTATTTTTCCAGGCAAATATGCGATGTACTCATGGTATATTTAGTTCGCTTGAGATAAAAACCAATCTGCCCAATCTATGTCATCCCATGCCATGCCACGCAACATCTATCATGTACAAACAAGTTAAACAAGCCCATTTCGTGAAAACATTGCAGCATAGCAACTCCAAGCGGCCGGGTTTCTAAGACAGGGCTAGAGAAAAAAAGGACTCAGTTGAATCCTCTCTCAAAAAATATACCTTAATACACAATTATGTCATGTTTGTGCTCAAGCATCGTGGTTTGGCGCAGATCCTCCTCGGCCTCGGCCTCGGCCTCTCCCACCACGACCTCTTCCACGACCTCGTCCACGAGCACTGTCGAGATTTGCCGGAGGAGGCACGTTACTATACAAAGCTCCTGACTCGGGGGTCGGCCCTGATTGAGGGGCAGGGACATATCCTCCCTGCTGCCCGCCACGACCTCTAGCACCTCCGCGAGGATGTGGGCTACCTCTACCACCATGGCCATTTGTGTGACGGGTTTGGTCATTGCCATCGGGTCCTCCGCGATAGACAAGAGTGCTGTGAACCAGCTGAGGAGGTCCTCCACCACGTTGTCCATTATTAGGGTTCCCTCCTCGGCCGCCACGACCAGGCGATCCACTTCCGTTCAAAGCTCCTCGCCATCCTCCCCTAAGTGGAGCGGGAGTAGGAGCATCGGTGTACTGGGTAACTCCCACAGATCCATAAGATCCCAACTTAGTTATAGGAACATTGCGACGCTGCTGCTGAGATTTGCTCGAGGCAGAAACCACTTGTTTCTGCGAAGTATTGAGCACGGATGATGAGGCAACAGTCTGGCCACGGAACATAGGGGCTCTCTCGTTCAAGGTTGTGCCACTCATAAAAGAGGTATCCCACACCACATCTAGGAGTAGTGCTGTGGCGGTACGGCTGATGCCCACCACGGTTCCTCGGGTTGCAATTGGCACCTTGCCAGCAGCAGCAACAAATGTCACTCGGTCACCAAGCGAAAAGTTTTGGTTACCGAGGACAAGTTCTGCGTCAGTTGGCTTGAGAAGTGCTGATCGTGGCACACTGCGTAGCTTTCTGATCTCAACATCTTGAGATGCTTGGAATGCTTGCTCTCCAACCTTGGCGAGTGCCATAACTACCTCGGAGTCGAGCTGCTCTGCATCGAGGGGAACCTTTTCGAATTTGCTCGTTTCCTGCTTCTTTAGCCAAGCGCTAATGTCCTTGACGCGCTGAGAAGCGACAGCTGGGTCATTCCAGAGGTCAGTCTCCAGAATATCGCTCTTCTGCGCCTGCTTTTGGATGGCAGCGAAAAAGTCGGGGAACTGGACCATGTAGTCAGCAATCAGCTTGATCGCAAGATTGCTAAACTCCCATCCAGTGTGCGATTTCCTCGAATAGCCAAGGACTTTTTGCTTTCTTCCCTCGAATTTCAAGTTGAGACCCAGATTCAGTTTCAGCCCAGCCGAACTGTGAACCTGGAAAGACGAGGTGATCTTGCTCAGAACCAATGGGTGCATTCCCAGATTCTTCGCAACGGCAAATGATGGGGTGTAAGGATTCATCTTTTCAGCTTCGTGGATGATAGACCGAGCAAATTCGGGCTCCTTGTTTTTTAACAGGCTGACAACAATTTCAGCCTTTTTGTCGACATGGCCTGTGACCTCTAAAGGCCGTCCGTAGGCGTAATCGCCTAGGAAGAATGCGCGTGTTCCTTGAGTAAATTCCTCCTCAATTGGCAGGGCTGCCTTCTCGATGAATCGCTCATCTTCATTCGCGACTTCGTCTACAATAGTCTGCCCAGCATAGAGACTTTTCAGGCTCGGGTTTTCGGCGTAGTCCTTGATCAGCGCACCCTCTTCAGTCCGGATCAGGCCCTTAAGCATGTGGACATAAACCAAACATTCGACCTGTCCAATGGTCACACCGAGCCGCTTCCCATGCCAATTTTCAGTAAATTCGGCTTCCTTAGCCCAATCAGCGGCCTCCCTGTTGTTATTTTCTCTGGCGACCACAGAAGTGCCATCTTCTGACAGTTCGAAACTGAAAAGTTCATCACGAACAGCTATGATCTTGGCTTCCTGCAAGAACGGGTAGCCCACAAAGCAGCGCTGGCCCAATCGTGCCTTCCAGGTTTCGACTTTAGCACGCTTCTCGGTCTCGGTAAGGGTGACAACAACGCTTGGGTTTCGGCTGTCTTGTTGGAAGACGTTGATGCCGTAACCCGCAACCAACTGCGCCGTGTGAGGAAGAGTGTACAGTGAAGGAAAGCCTGCAAGAGCCTCGACGCTAACCAAAGCACCGTTCGCCAACCCAGACACGTACTCGAGACCCTCCATATCAGGCAAGTCGAAGATATTCTCAATGCAGCGGCAATTGGGAATATCAGGGAAAACGCCGGGCAGGGGTGATGGGAACGTAAAGTTGACTTCCGGCGAGTACGTGAATTTGATAGGGACTCCAAAACCATTTCTGGCTTTTTCGGCGTCGGTAAGAAGCTCGTTCTTGGGCCCCATGGCAGAAAGGAGCCGTTTCTCGTCAATGAAGGGAATCTTGACAACAGCTTCCCAGTCCATCTTTTTACCATTCATGTCCAGCACAAAGTCTCGAGGATAAAAGTCGATGATAGGTGAACTTGGGTTCGTCATCAAGTCATGGTATGCCACGGGCACAATCTTCTTACTTCGATCAGGCAAAACACCCATGAGTTGCTCATAGGGCCTGAAAGGCTGCCCCTTTTGAAATTTGAGGTTTGCGCCGGCACCCTTGATGACATCTGATAAATTAAGTCAGTAATAATTCCAAATTCTCCTTTGAAAGCGACTTTACCTGAAATCAAAGGTGAGTAGTGGTAAGAGTAAAACCATGGCCAAGATGCAATTCCTTTGTAATAGTAGAACAAGACCCATTGTAGACCCTGAACGTAGTTTTCGCAAAGAGCCAAGAGCTCGTTTTCGTACTTCTCAGGGGCCCATTCTTCAAACTTTTGAAGATAATACTTGGTCTTCCAAGCTTGATGTTTCTCTTGGTACAGCTTTTCGTACTGCTTCTGTGCATCTTCGGCGGTGACATCGACAACCATGGCTTTGTCATATATTTTCATAACCCGGTAAGCAGCCAGGTTTCCCTCCTCTTCCTCTTCATCATCATCGTCGTCGTCACCTGCAGGTTTTGGGGGGAATGCCAATATGAGGTGCCGACGGCCATCGTCGTCCTCCTGAGTCGACCAATCAAGATGCATGGAATCTGCCAAGTCTTGGGCAAATTTGCGATCCTCAGCCTTCAAGTCAGTGCCCAAATCGAGCTCGTTGTCGGATCGTTTCGAGACGAAAGGTCGGATTTTCTGTTTCCAGAGATCTCTCTGCGCAGAAGTAATCACCAACTGTCCACCTTTGGGTGTCTTGTAGTGGGCAGCCGACTTGCCGGCAAGCTTCTTCTCCATTTGCTTTGAAGCGTACCATTTCTCATCCGACACGTCGTTCTCGAAGTTCTCGAGCTCGAGGCTTTCAAGCTCTGCAAGAAGATGCTTCAAACGAGGGATGTTGATAACACCGTTTTCGTTGAGGTATCCATCACACTTTGGAAGGACCTTTTTGTAAATCCGGAACATGTTGGCCAATGCTCCTTCATTGATGTGCAAGCCAGGCAGATTTGGCAAGAAATCGTTTCCAACGAAGAAGGCCATCAGAATAAAGTCATCGATGACCCGCTCTAGATCGAATGGAAATCCAAGGGAGTTGTCCGTCTTGAGTTCTTGAAATTCTAACTCTAGATACTCTCTTACTATGCAGAGATGAAGCAGATAGAAATTTTGGTGTTCAAGTTCTTTGGACTTGGTTTTGGAAGCTCTTCCAAAAGTAACTTCCTCACGCAAAAGACAGAAATGAGGATCGTGGCTGAGAAGTCCCAACATGATAAGATCGGCATCGAGACCATACAGACAGTGGCGGACGTTGGGATCGTAGTTGGGTTGCGATTTGGCGTTTCGAATGTACTCCATGATCTTGTGCTCACCTTCTCCTGGCACCTCATGACCAGAGAGCACAATTTCGCAACCTTGCCAATCAGCATCTTCAGATATCTTCTTGTTGACAAAATATCGCAGCTGTTGCGACAACTTTGCCATGAACTCGGTTCCTATTCAAAGTCAGCTAACTACTGTCCAGCATCTCAAAGAGCGAGTACCCTACCAGGGGTGATACAATTACTGTCAAAGGGTTCCTCCTTTGGCAGCTCCAACCCTTCCTGCACAGCCTTTTCACGGGCTTTCTCTGCATCGAGAGCGGTACGGAATCGTCGGGCTCGCTGTTGATTCATCTTGGCTCGAGGTGCAACACCATCAATGGCCATGAAGAAGAGCTGTTTCGGCTTGATTTTTCCAAAGAGATGCTCGATATAGTTGAATATTCTGATGAACATTTCCTCCTCGCTTAATCGGAACATGGTGTCTTCGCCCGCATCTTTGTGAGTACAGTTGTGAATGATACCGTTCATGTCGAGCTAGAAAAGCTGTCAGCCACCTGCCATGCATTCGTGCGGTTCAGACGTATCGGACATATAAACAATCAAATTCGGGTATGCGGTTCTCTGCGATAAGCTGAGAGATCGCAGGATACCGCTCGGATATCCATCTGAAGAACTTGGGGACACTGTTGAGGGGTCAGCACGGTTCGAGCATTGCTAGCAAGAGTCCGAGCGGGAAACGAACCCCATGGTGGGAGCTTAATAACGACCCAATCTGGGTCGACGAGATGGTAGATAGAGGTTCGTGGCAGGATCGCAGGGCCAGACACGCGCGGTGTTGCGACAGGTCGAATAAGGTAGAACAAAGAACCAGGGCCGTCCACACTCAGATCGCGAATGCAATACGACAGAAGGAGCGAAGGGCAACAGTGCGAATCCAAAGAACTACCCAGAAAAAGGAGTCGAAATCGGAGAAAATTAACGGTGTAGAGTTAAGAGGGAAGACAGCGCATAAACGCTGGGTGGGTGGTAGAGAGTAAAATAAAACCTTGCGATGGCCTCTCGAAGTGTGTTCGTTTGTCGCCAGCGATGACTGTTCCGGGGAGCCTTACGCGGGTCACTCATACGGCGAGCAAGGTAACTCGTGGCAGCCCCAACGGCTTAGCGGTACTTTGGGCATCTTTGGGAGGTACCTACGTCCCCACCATAGCTGGCATGAACTCAAAACAGTGGAGGGGTCTCTGCCCGTCTTCAGCCTCTCGCTACGCCACAGACCCCCCTGGAGACTTGCCCCTCGCCCCAATGCACTGGTGGATTCGCCAGCGCCTCAGAGCAGCGGCAGGCCTCCGCTGATTGGCTGCCCTGCTCGCTCCCATTTACGCGCAACGCGTGCAAGCTTAGTTCAGTTTTCCGCTGTCATTGGTTCTCACAGCTGCAGGTTGCCGAGCGCATCTTCAATCTTCACCAACACCCAGAGCTCACCAACACACCAATTTGCCCGGTCACGGATTTCGTGTGTTTGCTGTCAAAGTTGAGACTTGGAGTAGTCGGTCGCGGCAGGACATCATGGCTCCCACACAAATTGACCACGACCCCGATGGTAAGGCGAACTTACCGCTTTCCGCCAGCGCAACAGATGGTGGTCATGAATGCGATGCTAATGCTCTCCCGCAGTTGAGATGCACGAGGATGATGACGATCAGGCGGAGCGCCTGATTAACGAGGGTATGAGATCTGCAACTCCAAGTTCGAGAACTAGCATTGCTGACCATTTAATTTCAGAGTACAAGACGTGGAAGAAAAACAGCCCTTTCTTGTACGATATGATTTTGGGGTAAGACGACGCAAATGCGAGGCTCGCGGGGGGGTTCACCGCTAAATCCTCCGCTTCTCTTTGGCCCCTGGCTAATTTCCATCACAGGAAAGCTCTCACATGGCCAACTCTGACTGTCCAGTGGTTCCCTGATATCAAGGAGCCAGAGGGCGCCAACTATCGCACCCATCGCCTCCTGCTCGGAACCCACACATCTGATGATAGCCCCAACTACCTCCAAATTGCCGATGTGCAAATTCCAAAGGCAGTTGCCCCTAACCCTGATGACTATGATGAGGAACGTGGTGAAATCGGCGGGTACGGAAAGTCTGGCGATGTCGCAGCCATCAAATGTGACATTGTGCACAAGATTGAGCACCCGGGAGAAGTGAACAAGGCCCGCTATCAACCACAAAACCCCGACATTATCGCTACATTTTGCGTCGATGGCAAAATTCTCATCTTTGACCGCACCAAGCACCCCCTGGTTCCCCCTACCTCCGTTGGCAAGTTCAACCCTCAGATCGAGTTGGTAGGCCACAAGTCCGAGGGTTTCGGTCTCAACTGGAATCCCCATGAGGAGGGCGGTCTTGCCTCAGGTAGTGAAGACAAGACCATGTGTCTTTGGTGGGATTTTCTAACCTTACCGTGCCGTTAGTTGCGTTTGCTAACTAGTCGCAGGGACCTGAAGAAGTTGGAGGCCGATTCCAAGATTCTTAAGCCCAGCAGAATTTACACGCACCACACGCAAATCGTCAATGATGTTCAGTATCATCCCATCTCGAAGAACTTCATTGGCTCCGTATCTGATGATCAAACGCTCCAAATTGTCGATATCCGACATAGCGAGACTGACAAAGCAGCCGTTGTGGCGAAAAAGGGTCACCTGGATGCTATTAACGCTCTCGCATTTAACCCCCACTCTGAAGTATTAGTAGCAACGGCCTCTGCAGACAAGACCATCGGCATTTGGGACTTGAGAAATGTCAAGGAAAAGGTTCACACCCTTGAGGGACACAATGATGCTGTGACATCGCTGTCATGGCATCCTACCGAGGCTGGCATCTTGGGTAGTGGTAGTTACGACCGCCGTATTATTTTCTGGGATCTCTCCCGTATTGGCGAGGAACAACTGCCCGATGATCAGGACGATGGCCCTCCTGAGCTGTAAGACGACCCGCATCAGATTCGTTTTCTTGTTCTTGACTAATAATCGGTTGCTTTTCATCTAGGCTCTTCATGCACGGCGGCCACACCAATCACTTGGCCGACTTCAGTTGGAACCCGAATGAGCCTTGGCTTGTCGCCAGTTCAGCCGAAGACAACCTCCTCCAGGTCTGGAAGGTCGCGGAATCTATCGTCGGCAAAGATGATGGCGAACTGCCAGTGGATGAGTTGGACCGATAAGGGCATATGCCAGTTTTGGATGAGCCAAAATCAACAAGCTTGAGACTGCCTACACAAGTCATAAACGGTGTAAAGAAGTGGAGCTGGCCTATCCAGAGAGTGCAGGCAAGTCGGCTTGTTGCCTCAGGGGACCTCGAATTTGTTGCGCCAGACCTTGGTCGAGATGTCCCATTTACTAGTTAATAACCTTACAAACACTTGAAGAAATCAAGAAACACATGAAATAAGAATTCGAAATTGATAGCGGGAGCGGGTGCAAATTTCAATTGTTTGTGTTCAGGTCTGCCAGCAGACGTCACCAGCTGTCTGGCGGAACCCCCGATTTCACTCAATGCTCACCCTAATTGTTTTTCAATAGCCATGAATGAGTGCGGCCTATTGTCGACTTTCTATTGTCCCGTTTATTTACATGCAGACAATAAGCCACCAGTCACTATAACAACCCACTCGAAATCAACTTCAACGATGCGCTTAGCCACTCAATTCTACATCAACAACAACAATTACAGATCCCGCGGTTTGTTTTTACCTTGTTTCCAACACGAATCTTACCTTCAGTTTCCACCATTCATCTTGACATGACCTCGCCTCTCATGCTATAATCATCCACCAGTCATCATTGATCACCATGTCGGCTCCAACTCTGGGCCCTCACCAAGACGGTGATGTTGGCATCCCGGATGACGAGATGGCACTTCCTGTTGGCTTGAACCAACTCGTCGATCTTGTAGAGAACCGCGAGGGCCTAGACCAGGACGAGTCGCAGCTTCTATCCCACGTAGCACTACAGCAGCTTCGCAACCAACACCGGCAACAAGAAGGTCCAGTCACCGCAAATGAGGTGATCGAGGCCATCAAGGTGTTCGCCATCCGCGAGCTTATGGAAGACCATCGGAAGAATCTCAGGAGACAAGGTCGGGAGGAGGTTTATCAGTGGGGTCAGCAATTTCTCATGGCGCAGAATGGGCAAGATGCGCCTCCAGAACAGGGGAGTGGGCAAGGGCCAGATTCAGATGAGGATAGTGATCAAAGTACAATCTCAGATGAGGATAGTGAGCAAGGTACGGCTTCAGACAAGTCACTGAGCAAGAGGCAACTTGAGATGTTAACGATACAGCTTTACCAGAGGATGATACAGCTCCAGATGAGGAGATCGAGCAAGAAACGGCTTCAGAAGAGGAGGCGGACGATGCCAGTTCGTCATCTGGGTCTGTGGGAGCCACGGACGACGGCGATTCGAGTGAGTGGGGGGAAGGAGAATTACATGTTTCAACTGAAACGGAAATCGTCGACGGTCTTGCACGCTTGAAGTTCACTTTCACGGACGAAGCTTTGCAAAGATTCTTTGGAGGGAGAGATCCGTATTTGAAACCTGAAGACGAACGCGTTGTCAAAACACCTGACCCCGAACAACGAGATATCCTTACTGCGCTCTGCAGCCATCCAGTCCTTGCTGTTGAGCTTGGAAAGCATCTTGCCCCTCAAGATATGATAAGCCTATTCCTTTCTTGTCGAACATTTCATACCTTCATACATAACTACATGCTGTCAAGCATCCGCACATGGACTGCCTACCGCTTCCCGAAAGCTGGCGCGACGTTTCCGTACAGGCTGTACAAACCTCTCCTGATGTCAGATCCTCGGGGCCGCGCGTGGGATGGCGAGGAGCAGGAGGTCCCAGAGCCAAAGAAAATCCGCGTCATTCCCGGTCTGAAGTACTATCACCTTCTGTGGACTCGGGATCGTTGCTCCAGGGACATTGTTGCCATCATGGCCCGCAACGGGCATCGTTTACCCAAGACGATGTATGCGACTCTTCTCAAGATGTGGCTGCTCATGGACCTGTCTACCAGCAATCAGAGACAAGGCTTGATGCACAATAAGGAGATCTGGACAGACGTTGACCTCTACAATGCGCAACTCTTCTTCGTCAAGCTGGGGATGCACTTCAACGACCCCGTCTACGGCCCCAACTCTCTAGAGCTACTCCACCTGATGATGGGCCAGCGAGGCTTGTACACCCTGTGGCAACTACTCATGCGCAAGAGATTCACCACTCTCCCCGAGATCCTGCAGCTCAAGGTGCAGTACGATATGCAGATGCCACCGGACCACTGGGGCCACGACTATTATGGCCAAGAAATACACGACGTCCCTTTTCATAAGGTTGGCACAGGACACTACGAGGGATGGGGCAAAGGGGGCGGTCACCTCCAGCGTCCCGACGAGCTCGTCCCCCTCGAGGCCATTTTGCGCGGCCTCGAGCTTGACAAGCACCTCCCCCACATGGTCCTCTGGGGTTACTTCGACTGGAAGACGGGCGAGAACCTGGTCCCTACAGAGGAGGAGATGTACATCCCTGATGAGGAGAAGGCTCTCGAGCACATGGACACGACTCACCATTGGAAGAAGCGGCACGTCATGAAGAAACGCTGGGCCAAGCTCACCGAGGAGGAGCGGCAAGCCCTCATCGAAGAGGACGCGGACGAGAACCTGCGGGCTCAGGCCTGGATGGACGAGGATGCCGACTCCGACTCCGACGAGGGTGCCCCGTATAACCCCAATGACGAGATTGCCCGCGGTTACGTGATGCCGCCGTGCCCGGCAGACCGCGAGTCGACGGTCCCTCCGGTCAGTGATAAGGAGGGATGGCAGAGCTTTATCGGTACCGCTCTTATTGGAATGGCTCCTGAGCTCGATGAGGACGAGGTTCTGTGTGCTCAGGCCTGGCAGGAATATGGGGATGATCAATTTGAGGATAGCTTTGACTGGGATGAGTGGCTTGAAGAAAGGGAGAACCAGAGAGCCACGGCCCTCGCCGTGGAAGGCGCAAATGCAGCTGCGGAAGACGACGATGATGAGGACGACGACAACGAGGAAGACGAAAATGCAGTTACGGACGAAGACGATGATGATGATAACGACGACGACGATAGCGAGGATGAGGACGCTGCCATGGAGGACCTCTAAAGGGAAGGCCAGGCTTGTATGTATGAGTGAACAGAATCAAGGGTGGCCATCGTAATCTAAACAATAGCTGGCACGTTGTATTCTGACCATTATGTAAAAAAGAGAAGAGATCAATTTTCCTCATCATAAACAACATGCGGTGGACTCCTCTGACAGATAAGATCTCTATATAGTACGAGGGGAAGCATAGATAGAATGCCTCCGCCCTCTCCATCCGCTCCGTTTGAAGCACGCACGCATTTATCTGTGGCATAACCCTTTTATAAAAACAAGAAAGTTCACGGAAGATTATCGACAAAAAGCGCGAAGTTCTGGCTCCACGGGCCCCCCTTATCCGTTCTTCGCTTCGACACCAAAGCCCTAGAAGGCATATTTTCCCCCTGCCACCTCTCCCCGAAAAGAACCATGATTGTTTTATGTGTGGTGAGGTATCGGCTTTCAATGAAATGAAAAAAAACAGACCCAGCACCGTCCAGCAGGCATATATACCAGCCGGCCAGGTTTCCAGATTCCAAAGAGCTCCCCGACTCCCTCGCCAAATTTCCCTCCATGTAGAGCACTCCGCCGCTTACCCAGATGTCCGCGCGTCCAAATGAAGCATACAAAAATAGAGAGAAAAGGAAAATGAAAACACAAAAAGTGATATGAAGGTTTGAAGAACTGGGTTTATCGAGAAACACACAAAGGTGAATTGCGTTTTCCCAAGGATGAGAATGAGAGGAATAGAGGCAGTGGAAGAATAGACAATGGAAAACGACTCGAGATAGAAAGCACGATGAGAGAAAATGACATGAAGAGCGGTGGAAAGCCGAGTGAAAAAAACAAAGAACACAACCCGGGCGGACTGAAAAATAGTTGTTTGATGTTTTCAAGTCAGAGAACGCGGCCGAGAAAATACCCTCCCCCCTTTTTCACTCCTGTCGCTATGCACCCGCACGTCCGGAACAATGATTCCAGCAATATATATCATGTCCCAAATGAATCAACCAAAGCCGGACCCCCTCCCAGTCATCCCCAGCGGAATGAAAAACAAATAAGAACAGGCCTTGTCGGCGGGAGAGACAATTTCTCGCAGCTGGTACTGTGCCGATAAAACATGTCGTCGGCCCAGAACAGCCGTAAAATAGAAGTGTCACTTTTCGTTTTCCAGCCATCCCACCGTTTTTTATTTCACCCATGCTCGCCAGCAAAACAAGAATAATCCATCACTCCGATCCAACCTTCCAATACCAAACACACTGTAAAGCCCACACCTTGCCTTCTTGTAGAAACCAAGCAAGGTTCCAGTCCATCCGGAAAGGTATCTGGCAAAGGTCAAAATGCAATCTATGTTCATTACCCCAAAGCCTTTCCGTGGACAGCAGGAAAATCAGAAGCGACCGATCAAATGCCGAAATAAGGCCTGATAATACCGTGAGAGTGACCCCCTCGGACTCAGGTGGGACAACCAGCGTTGTCAGCCTAAGCAGGCGACTTGCTGGGAGGAGCCGAGCCGCCGTTCTGGCGACCGTCGCTGCCGCTCACTGAAAGCCCGCCCATTCCACTAGAAAGGAAGGCGAACGGGTCGCTCTCACCTCCACCGTTGTTGCTGCTGTTGTAAAAGTTGTTCGAGGGTCCTGCGGAGGCAGGTCCATTGGTCGCAGACTGGAAGGCAGCCTCGGCAGCTCGACTGTCAAAAGGCCCAGCCGACTGGGCACCGGGAGCAGGACCAAATCCTTGAGTGTTCAAGGAGCTGGGGTATGCACCAGCACCGCCAGCGAGACCAGAAGGCAAGAAGTGGCTTGGCGGACCGCCGAAGTGCTGGTTGTATCCGCCAGCGCCAGAGCCGAACGAGTTGCCAGAAGCAAAAGGTCCAGGGCCAGGGCCGGGTCCGGGAGTTCCGGCCATTGAGCTTTGGCTCACGCTGTACTGAGACGAGTTGTCCATGCCGGAGGGATAGCCAGAATCGGCGACAACAGCAGCACCAGCACGGCTAGCACCACATCGAAGACAGCACACATTCTTGGCGAAGTTGTGATAACCACAAACCTCGTTTCCGCACTTCCAGTCTCCGGCACGGAATGGGACGACACCGCTGCCACCCATGCGGCCACCGTGGCCCATATGTCCGTGGTGTCCACCGTGATGAGGGGGCGGCACCATAGCTGGAGGGCCATACCCATAGTTGTATGAGCCAGGCCCTCCCATATCGGCGCCGCCTTGAGGTCCAGACCCGGCGGCAGGGAAAGAGCATCGGAAGCAAGCCGTTCTGCGCTGGAAATTCGAGAAACCACAGGAGGGGCAGGTCCAGTCACCCGGGCGAGGTCGGTTCTTGCTGGGAGGGAATGGGGTGAGAATATCCTGGGCACGATCCAAGACCCGGCTTGACGATGGAGAAACTTCAATCGCTTTCTCGTTGAGGGCACGTCCATTCATACACAAACTCTCGGCGGCCTAGACAGCAGACGGTTAGTTCCATTGGTTGCACACAGGTTGCACCAGCAGATGAAAAGACACCAGAGTTTCAAGCTGGGTGCGGAAGGTGAACTTACTTCCTCGTGAGAGGAAAACACGGCGAAGCCAGTACCGGTAGGCTTGTGCTGTTCGGGAGTGCGGAGAGTCCAGAAAGCAATCGGGCGACCACCGAACTGAGTGAACCAACTTTCCAACTCGGATTGGGTGGTATCATGAGGAAGGCCAGACATGTGAAGAACCTTGCTTCTCTCAGACAAGAATGCACGAACATCAGCACGGGCATCCATAGGCCTGGACAGAACATCAGGATGCTCCTGTCGCGGCTGCGACTTTCGAATCAAGCCACGGAGAACCCTGGCGAGTGTGATGGCCTCTTCCATGGCACGTCGAGGGGACGCCGGGGCCAAAGCCTGAAGATGGAAAGGCAGGTTGTGTTTGATAGGCGCGCTCGACTGCACGGGCTCTACCTCAAGAGCTGCACAGATATTTGACAGCATAGAGGGGCCAAACGGCAGTGATTCGGGGTGGTGCTGTTGCCATCGCTGGTACTCGGTTCGCAGATCGAAGGTACGGGAGTGCTGCAGGTATGGAGGGAGAACAACCGCCTTGTCACGAGCTTCGCGGGGAAGCTGAACACGAAGGTCCCAGGCATCGAGGGTGACAAAGACGAAATCGAGGTTCTTGGACGTCAAGTGTTCAATGGCAAACGTGTCGAATCGAGAGATAGCATCTCTAAAGGTACCCGCGTTTCGGACATGTTCCCAAGTGAGAGTTGTCAGGCTCGCTGCGGAAGACGCTTTGTCAGTAAATTGAAGCTGGAAGGGTCCGGAATTTGCACTTGAATTTGGCGAGGAGGTAAAGCAAGCCGAGGGCACGAAATTGGAGACGACACGAATCAGGAGCTAACAGGACTTGGCAACTTACTGCATAATGGGGTGATAGGGGTGTTGACAGGCTTCACAAGCACACTCTCATGGGCAAGCTATATACGCAAATATCGGAGTCAGCTTCAGGCAACGAGACAGGATAGGTAACGGCATCGGCGGCGCCATGAGGAAGTGAGAGGATACTGACCTCCTCGAGAGTGTTGGCATCAATTAAAATCCATCCAAGTTCGATGACCTCTGCGGAATCCTTGGTCACATAAACGCCGTGTTCGTCACAGGTGGTCGCAACATGGATGACGACGTAGCGGTCGACGGAAAACGCAGGAAGCGGCTGCGAAGACATGATGCTAGTCGGTTGGGCGATGCGGACGGCAACTCTCGACAGCGACTGGAGGGACCGTTAGAGCGGTCTGTGTAGACGACCAGACAGCCCGCTTGGTGGGTAATCAGTCAATCTGCCAAAGAATGCAAGAGGAGCTGCAGCCTGTGACCCAGCCGGCTCGTGGGAGGAACAGGAGGCAGGGCGGGAAATGCAGAGTGGTGGATGGGAGGTGGTGGTGAGGATGTCCTGATCAGGATGGTTTGAGGTTTCAAAAAGAAGGCCACCAAGCGTCGAAAGCTTCAGGAGGTGCCCGCCACAGGGAAGCAGACCGTTGGTGGAGGTGTGGGGGTGTACCAACAGTACGGCTTCGCACAGGCGACCGATCAACGAGTCAACCGCTGTGGCTGTTCCCAGCAGACGGCGATGATAGCGGTGGTGCGGCGGTACGGCGGTGCAGCGATGCAGCGGTACAGCGGAATACAGCGGTATCTAGGTACCAAGGGAGGGCGCCAATATTGGTGCTCCTGTACAAGCGGTCCAAGTATCTGGGTCTCAACACCGGGCCCGTCTGCACGTTTCCAGGACCAGCTGTGGCCCTCTTTCTAATTGCCAAAAGGCGACTGTGCGGGATGCGAATTGGGGCAAAAGAGGAACCGAGCAGCGGGTAAAAGGAAGAGTGATTCTGCAATATCGAACATCAGAGAGGTTGAGTGTCAGGGTCAACAGCAGCTCTCGGTTGGATAGATACCCAACACTCAAGTAGATGCCTTAGCGGTGCTAGGTACCTCACTTGAGCAGGTTTAATATTAGCACAGTAGATGGGATTTAAAACCGCGTAAAAAAGGTGGCCACTGGGCCAACTGGTAAGCATGCCGTGGGCCGCTGCCAGACCCATCCACCTGTAAAGAAACCAGGGGTGCACCCGCGCCGGGACTCCTCCAGAAAGTTGGTACTGTACCTCTCCTGTATGGATGGATGGAGAATGTGATATTTCCAGGTACATCGTATTGTGGTTGCGGGCACTTCGGTGGCACAGAATCCTGTCCCCCCTCAATAACATCCCAGTTCCAATCACATCGCTAGGTAAGGTAGTAGGCACATGCCAGGCAGGGAGGTAGTATTTCAAACAGGATGCCTTTTGCCAATGTGCGCAGCGTCCAGGAATGTACTGCGCTGGCAGCCCTCATTGCTCTAGACCTACCAATGGGACGCATTAGTTGTGAATAATCCAATGTTGAGCCTCGGGTCCATATTTTCGGGTTTATTCGTGTCACGGGCCCCCTGGGATTTATCCTATACCAGAAGCTACCTAGGCAGGACAGCAATTAGTTATTCTAGCCGGCAACAAGTGCTTGGAAACCGGGTGCCTCTTGGGCCAATGATTTCTGCCGTGTTAGTTCTCTTCCAATTGACGCGGCTGTGCCTGGGCTCAACAGGACCTCTTCTCCTAAGCTAAGGGAAGCCAGCTGTCCGCTCGAAAATATCATAACTGTCGAGAGTAGACAGTTGTTGCTGAGGCGTCAGCTGCATAACTCTGTACCCTTGTTGTACAGAGTAGGCTGTGTTACCTTGGCGGCTCATTAATTAATGAGCCTCAGTAGTAAGCCCACCCAGCCTATAAGGTCGTACATCATAAGTGTACTGCCCCATCGTGCTGCCGAGATTATATGAGGCGACAACAAAGCCATCATCCGGTCTCGCTAGGAAGCATGAAAAACAAGTCATGAGAAAAAATTGAGCTGCGAAGTGAAAGAGCCCGGATTTTCTGTTTCCTAGCGCTGGCTGTCAACCTTGCCACCCAAAACCTTGATGCTGCTATGCCTGCCAGCGGTGTCGCTCGATTGGCCAACTCTAGTTTAACTCCACGGCGACAAGGACACAACGGATAGCGGCAGTGATGGGGAAATAATCGGAAGGCGATAGTCTTCAGGTGTGGGACGATGCTCTAGAAGAGTTCTGGATCCTGCCAGGGCCAATGGCTTAGTTCAACGGCATTCACATGATTTACATTATAGCATGTCGCCGGCCACCGCTTGCACCTTGCCTCCCGGTACGTCATGCGATGGTATACGTCATTACACGCGCCGCCAGCCGAGCTGTGAATCACAGAATTGGCTTTTTAAGGCACTCTCAGTGATACGAGTGTGTCCCAGCATTATTTTTATCCCAATCACCAACCAACCGTCATTTTTCAACTCATCTTCTCTACGTGCTTCTTACTAGTACACCCACTTTGTGTCTCTCGCTTGCGCTGAGAACTGAGACTTACCTACCCTACAACCTATCTATCCATCTACTCTTAACTCTTAACAAAGTCATCATGGGTGCCGCCGCTGCCGTCTGCCTGGTTCTCCTCACTATTTTCTGTGAGTTGGCACATGCTTTATGAAAGGGTGATTCCCACCACTGACGAGATGGCCTAGTCCCGCCCCTCGGGGTTTTCCTTATCGCTGGTTGCGGTGCAGGTGAGTTGGTCTTCCGCGGTACCTTGAGTTGCTAACCCGACACACAGACCTTCTAATCAATATCTGCCTCACCCTCCTTGGATATATCCCCGGGCACATTCACGCATTCTACCTTCTATTCGTCTACTACGACCGGCGGGAGCAGATGCACCACGGCAACACTGCAATGCGCAGAGCACCTGGTGTCTATTCTGAACGTGTCCAGACAGGTGGCGTAGGGTACGGTACCATGGCCCAGCCAATCCGCTGAACACAACTACCCATGGAATAAGATGAGCACCGGTGTTCCGGTGAGATGTAGGATTCCGGATGGCATCCTTTCCAAATTCCGGGTGACCCCGCTGGGTCTCAAAAAACTGGCCGTAGCGAGTCCTCGCCAGCCATGGTTTTTCTTTCTCTCCCAAGGCGTTGTAATGTTAGCTTGGTTATACCTTGTCCATAGTTAATGAGTTCTCTTTTATCCGATTTATGGCACCCATAAGATACTCGTCGGTTAATGCGGAGAAAGCAATGGCCTGATCAATTGCTCTTGATGTGTCTTGACTGCTTGGGGTCCTCGTTTGGTTAGTACACTAAGTGCCTGTCGAAATGTACCTCTTTCGTCTTGGCGTCCTCGCCGCTCTTACTCAGGCATCCAAGTGGGTGGAATAAAACGTGGCACACCAACGCCAATCAGACCAGAAAGGCTCCTCTGTAACGAAGCCTGCTAAGCCATTGAAAGGCAGACACCCAACCTGCCCAGGTGCCACAGAACAAACCCAAGGGCAAAGTTGCTCAATATATTGTGAACCATCTGGGCAGAATAAGCAGTCTGGTCCATCTGGGCAAAACAAGCAGTCTGTACCACCGTCTCAAAAACCCCAAAGTAAACATCCTGTAAAGAACCGGCAGAGCTGCCATTGACCTCGTCTTTTAACCAAACATAATAATAAGAGAATAACTAGAGAGTAATAAAATATTCTATAATATTTAGCTTGATATTGTATTCAGTACTAGGTTATTTATTGTGCTATTGTGTTGAAATTCAATGCTGAACTATCTCGATGTGCCTTGTTTTATTTACCCACTTGGACACTCCATGCGAACGTGTCACTGCCCCAGGACTTCAGACCATTAACCAACTGAAAATGGCTCTCATCTCGCTCCAGGCAGATGGTCGATTGTCGTGTCCGTGTTGTGCTGCCCATCATAGGCACCTCCAATTAGTCGGTCCGTGTGCTCCCTGTATGTACCCTTTTGGCCAGCGGCTTGGTTTTTGAACAACCCCAAACTCTTCATCCTGTCATTTATGTTAGTCCCATGTCTCATATGAATAGGGTGGTAGGGCCGTACATCTCCTCGTGCAATTCTTGACGGCTCAAAGCCAGCGGCACCAGCGTACCATTAGGCACTAGGCCCTTCTTTATCCTGTCATTATGCTGCAACTTGCGCTGTTCTTCCGGTAAATCGGCCGTAAACAAGTGCCACTCACGGTCACCTATGATCACATTAGATCAGTCTAAATGAAAGAATAGGGAGACATCAAATATGGGGGCTACTTACCTGCATTGGATGTGTGCCCTGTAGTACTCGCTTCTTCATATTCGCCTGGCCTGTAATACCTCTCCCCATCATGAAACTTCGACTGCTGTCCATAGCTGAACGCTGCGGCGAAGTCCGGATTGTCTGTCTTGTATGCGTCCAATCTTGTCTTTCCCTTCTTTGTAGCGGACGAGTCTTCGGAGGTTTCTGGGACGTCGGTCCCGTCGCCGACCTTGCGCGCATACGACGCTGGCAAGTTGTTTGGATCGACCCTGAACGGGTTCGGTGAGATATTGACGTACATGGTGTTGGTATTGCCCTTCAAGAGCTCGCCGTTTTTCTGCACGGTATTTTCTCGATAGTCGTCCAAAGACACGTCGTATTTCTCCCTTAGTTTCTTGGCTCTCTCTTCCACCCCCTTTGCCTTTTTGATCTGTTCCGTGGATTTTGGGGCGGGCTTCTTTGGGTCGTAAAATACATTACCCATCAGTCTAATAGGCGGATCTATGATCACAACATCCTGAGGAGCTTTGCCCTTGGGTTTGCCTTCTGGGGCCTGAGAATGCTGGGTGTTAGCCCCCGGAAGATGAAGATTCTTCGTAGAGGAGCTTTTCTGGTCTGATTGGCGCCCCCCGAAGGCTTTTTTGTTTAGAGGCGGCGGCACAGACCGCTTGTTTTGCCTAGATAAACCAGATGGACTAGACTGCCTGCTCTGCCCATTCTTCGAGGGGGGATTGGTTTGGGGTCCTTTGCTTGATTGGGATTTCCCGGCATCATGCACCTTCTCAATCCTTACTTTTTGTGCATCTGGTTTGATCAAGTTCTGTTTGAAGACCCCGCCTCCTGTTCTCTTCTTCCGGGGTTCGGTTGGGGATGCATTGCCTGGTTGCTTCCTCTTCGCACTATTTAATCCATCATGCCTGCTTGTCCGAGAACTCCCACCGGTCGGTGATGGTATCCTAGTTGGAATATTCGGTCTCTTTGGAGGATTCCCACTGACTTGCTTGGTTGGTTGGTTGACGGACGTGTTTGGGTTCTTCTGATGACTCTTATTGGTTTTCTTGCTTGCTTGAGTGCCTCCTGGCCTGGTGGACGACTTTACTGGTATTCTACTTTGATACGGGTTGGAGGCTGTCTTCGGTCTTTCTTGAGAGCTTCCACCATCTTGCTTGCTTGACTTGGAACTCTCCATCTTGGAGAGTATCGTCAGGTTGGGTAGACTCTTAGTGTCACTAAGTTTCCTTCTGGGTGTATCTAGAGAAGCTGGAGCCTTTCCCTTGCCAGACGACCCATAATCATTAGTAGGAGTGTCGCAGCCGCCGCGCTTCCACTTTCATCCAATGGGATAGCTTACTGGGTCTGCCGGTGCCTTATTGTTATTGCCAAGTTTCGGATCTTGGCCCGACGGTTTACTTTGATTCCCAAGCTCCCCGTGGTTGGCTGCCTTTGGTTGGCTAGGTGGCTGTTTGGAAACTTTCTCGTTGGCAGTTGTCTTGACGTTGCCGATTAGCTTCCTGTTCCCTACCGAGTTCTTATTGCCGAGGGTCTTTTGAGTTCCAGCAGTCGCCCTATTGCCTACTGGCCTTTTCGGATCAGGCCTCTTCTTGCTTGGTGAAGTCTTCTTTCCAGCAGTCTCCTCGTTCCCGGCAGCCTTCCTCTGGTTGGAGAAGTTCTGATTCTTGGCAGCCTTCTTAGACCCGGGACTCTTCTTAAGACTACTGGCTTTCTTGGGTCTACCAAGCTTCTTTGGTTTCCCAGGAGTCTTCCTTGAACCAGCAGCTTTATTAGGACCAGCAGCTTTATTAGGACCAGCAGCTTTCTGAGGACCAGCAGCTTTATTAGGACCAGCAGCTTTCTGAGGACCAGCAGCTTTCTGAGGACCAGCAGCTTTCTGAGGACCAGCAGCTTTATGAGGACCAGCAGCTTTCTGAGGACCAGCAGCTTTCTGAGGACCAGCAGCTTTCTGAGGACCAACGGCACTTTTAAGTCCAGCAGCCTTCTTAGATCCCGTCGGTTTGTTCGCGACTCCTCCTTTCTTAACACCAGCAGCTTTCTTAAATCCAGAGACACTCTTAAGGCCACTGACCTTTTTCGGTTGAGTAGGAGCTTTCGTGGCTCCAGCGATCTTCTCAGCTGCTGCCCCCTTCTGAGCTTCAGCACCTTTCTTAAGGCCAGCAACTTTCTTTGGTTTCCCAGCAGTCGTATTAGGTGTAGTAGCCTTCGTTCTTGCAGCTTTCTTAGACCCAGAAGCGCTCTTAGGACCGCCAGCCTTCTTTGGTTTAGTAGCAGCTTTGTTGGCTCCGGTGATCTTCTTAGCTGCCGCTCCTTTCTTAGAACCAACAGCTTTCTTAAGACCAGCAGGCTTCTTCGCTACTCCCTTCTTCGCTCCCTAACCTTTCTTGGGACTAACAGCCTTTTTCCGTCCGGCAGCTTTCTTCAGGTTTGCCGCGGGCTTTCTTTGGCTTGATAGCAGCTTTCTTAAAACCAGTAGTCTTCTTCGGCCCGGCAACGGCCCTCTATGGCTTAGCAGCAGCCTTCTTGGGATTAGAAGCAGATTTCTTGGCTCTAATAGGCTTCTTCACGGCTGCTTCCTTTAGAACTCTACCAGCCTTCTTTGGGATGGCAGCTGCTTTATTCGATTTCGCAATTGTTTTCTTAGGAGCAGTTGCTTTCTTCGCTGCTGGTCTCTTCGGAGCTCCGACGGCCTTCTTTGGTTTGGCAGCAGCTTTATTCGGTTTCGAAACTGCTTTCTTAGGAGTAGTCGCTTTCTTGGGAGCAGCCCCTTTCTTGGAAGGAGCAGCCCCTTTCTTGGAAGGAGCAGCCGCCTTCTTGGGAGCAGCAACCGCCTTCTTGGGAGCAGCAACCGCCTTTTTGGGGGCCAGCTTCGAAGCTGCCTTTCTTTTGGTGAGACCATTGCCTTCGGTAGGAGACTTTTTCTCTATTTTTGTCGCGAGCTTATCAACATCCGGGCCGCCAGACTCGTCACTGGTAAAGCCTTGTCGCCCTATTCTGATTCTACATGAACCATTTTTTGCCGCTTGCTGATCGACATCGCAATTGTCTGTATTTATTTTGTTAGTCTGTTACCTCTTCCTTTTCGATTGCAACTTGCCTGGAGTGTCTGTTGGTCGAGCTAGACTTGTATCATCGGCCCTCAAGAGCCTCTTGCTTGGTTGGCGTTGAATGATTATTTAGGATTTTCAGGAATGGCCAGTACAGGGCTTATCCTTTTGTTACCTTCTCCTGCCTTCACCGTCAAGGCGAAGCAGGAAATAGTGCAAATAATATTGAAGAGGAGCATAATGGCAATATCAGCCAGCCATAGGTAGATTAAAAAGGAGCTAAATATTCGCAGTCAGCAAAAAAAAAAAAAAAAAGAGAGTGGAATAAAATCAAAAATGATTTCAGGCTTTGGTGATATTCAGGGCATGCATCAAAATGCATTCCACGGCCGTTATAATTGCAGCATCACCAATGTTGACTTAGCTCATCTAAAACCTTGGACCCTTAGATACTCTATAATCAAAGCGTATAAGCCCGTCATGCCGTGAAATCTACATTCAGAAGAATGATGCGTCTGGTTTAGATTGGACATTCCGCTTTGGAACCGTAAGCTGCCTTGGTGGGGTGGTTAGAAGCCATTCTAACCCTGCCCTTGTTCATCTCTTCATTGGGCTTACCGTAGGCCTATTCCGAGGATACGGCATATGCTGAAGGAACCTTGGTATTAGCACGGGGGACTTAAGGCGGTTCTATAGAGATCCAGCCCTATGCTAGCAAGGAACCTAGCATTAGTTTGCCGCATTTTCTGCGACTTGGTCCAAAGCGCTTCCATCTTGCTTGCGACTGGGTCTTAGCATCTGGCCCGTATCTCTAAAAAAAGTCCAGCTGGCCGATATTCAGCAAAACTGGGCGCACATGGGATTTCCGTTCAGCCTGTTGCAGTATTGCGAAAGACTGGCGGGGTCTCGTAAAGCTATAAATCTGGTCACACAACGGGATGGTCCTTTTACAGTAGCCTAGTACATCGTGTCAACCTTTTTATTTTATTGGAAGTGCGGCCGATTGGGCTTCTGCCTGGTGGCTGCCTTGCACTGTGTTTCAAAAGCTTAAATTCATTTCTTTTAATGTTATCTCCTCTAAACATTCCTCTCCGTGTCAGTGCCACCGATTGCGCAACTTGTTCTTTTCAAGCTTGTGCTTGGATTGGTGTGGTGCTTGAATTGAAGAGTGTGAAGCCAGGTGAAAGAGCCAGCTTTAACAGTCATTCGACGAGCCGCTATCCTGACGGCAATTGAGTCATCCGTACGAAGGTTCATTGAACTTTCCTGCCGTATGACTACTTCGGCGGACTAGGAAAGGCTATTTTTTTTTAAGCTTTTCGTATTCACTGCGTTGAGTTGTTCCGGGCCCTGGCAGCTTCATTGTTGTTAAACTTGATTCTCTTTCCACCTAGTGGCTGCAGTAGAGCCCATCGTCTTAGTAGGTAGCCTGTCTTAGTCAGCACATGCAACATTGAAGTGTGCTTGGGACTCGGGTTACCTCATAAACCCTCCCAAATACCTACCCTGTTGTATTGCTTCGATTCATTGACCTTCTGCAACTAATGAGAATATAAAGCAGTGGCTGACCCCCCGCAACCAGATCCGAGTCAAGCTTCCTCAGGCCTAATTCTACTCACCCCATCTCATCCTCAGAGGAGGCAATACTTAACTTCCTCATGGAATCGACGTCCTACCTTGCCGCTCTCCCCTCTAAGATCCTGCAGCTCATCATCGAGCACACTCATGCCTCAGGCCACTGGCCTCTTGCACAGACATGCAAGCATGTATATCTTAACTCTCAGCCGATCCTTAGCCGACATCGCAAGGCGTACCAAGAATTCAGGATCAGCTGCGATCTCGACCCTCAGACTGTTCCTAATCTTTTATGGAGTGCCTTAAGTCCGGGCGCAGCCTCGATTGACGCTTGGCATGTTAGAGAGTTTGAGGTCTGGACTGATAGAATAAATGATGATCTCTGGGAGGTTGATGCGGATACTGGCGACCTCTGGGTAGTTGAGGAGAGGAAGCCCTGGTCATTTCCCGACAAGGATATTGATCACTTCTTCAATAAACTATACAAGGTGCCGGATTTCTTCCCTCAGGATGACATATATCATGTCCGAGCCCAGGAGGAGCTTGAAACAGGCGCAGATGCCTTCCTTAAGGCCTTCTTGCTGGCCCATCTGCCACGCATCCAGGCCCTACGCTATATGGGGAAGCCTGAATCAGAACAGGCGAACTTCAAAAACCTGTGTCTAATGATTTATTGGTGCAAGCTTGCTGGTACCTGGCTGCCTGGACTTGAAGCACTTCAAAAGGTTTACGTGGGTGTAAACTCGCGTCGAGTTGGCGACACCACGATTGATGGCCAGATCTTGCGACCCAATCCCCCCTCGAGGGAACTCGAAGAATTTTGTGCTCTGCTGTGTCTCCCGAACCTATCTGAGGTGTATTTTGCCCACTTGGACGGGAATTCCGATATCAGCAGTGAGATTATGGATCTCTTCCCAGATGGCGTTCAGCCCCTGCTTGACAAGACATCACCAGTCCAGACCATAATCATCGACAAGTTACAAGCTAGTCTGAGCGAACAACTAATGGACTTTATAACCAAAGCCCCAAGCAGCCTCAAAAATCTCGCCATCCGGTTCGACCGCTTCAACGAGTACGGCAATCGTAGAAGGAACGCCACCGTTGATGGTAAACAAAGGTCCCAGGAGCTGACGCAAAAGCTCGCCCAGCACCAACACTCATCTCTCCAGCGGCTTTGCTTCTACAACGAGCTCATTTTCGGCGGACTATCGGATTGGAACTGGGTGGCACCAAGCCAACGTGTCATGTTTGAGGATCTTCGCGTGGCCTACTTCTCCTGGCCCATCATGGAAGAAGAGGTGGCGAGTCGAGCTGTAGCAGCGCGATCCCGGTCAGAGCTTCTGGACCAACTTCTTCCAGTATTTCGATCTCAATTCCCGGCCACGATTGAGATAGTATACTTAGTCGGATTCTGTACAAGTATTTCCCAATCTCCGGAGTTCGCCGACCCGCCACTAGATTATGTGGATGATGCAGTCGAGGCGATGATTAAATCAGAGCGATACAAGAATCTCAAGGCGGTCCACTTGCGGGACAACCAGGATGAGGAACCGGATGAAACCCCTGGCTATGTCCCCTTCCCAAAGACCATGAAGGCGGCGGAGGAGCGGGGGGTCTATGTTCATCTAAAAGGCAGCAAGCCTCCATCCTGGTTCAGCTTCAAGGGAGAGTTCATCCCGATACCGACAAGAGACTGCCTGGTGACGGGTCAGTTTTTGCCTGAGGATGAAGACCCTTACCTTGCCTATTGTACCTGGGTGGACCAAGGAATGCCTATGACTTTGGCCAGAAAAGAGTCTCCCCAAATATAATTGTATATACTCGAAGAGACTAGGGCGTTGTTGAATGAGTACTGTGTTTCTGGAAGCGACTCTGTATCTATGTATTGTCTGATTTAAAAGCACAAGTTAGTATCTGATCCAGCAACAAACTTGGTGACTGCAATGCGTATATTTGCTCTCAGATGAATCGCATGCACAACCCAATCGTGAAAGAATGGAGCTTGTCGCAGTATCTGGCCTCTTGCCTCCTGTCTTGCCAGTTTAGTTATATCGCTTCATCCTGTACGGTGTCTCAGTGAGAGAATATGAGTTTCGGTTATTTCGCAAGTTACAATCCCTAATTTTCGTCTTGGATAGAGCCTGAGAGCTCAATGTCTGTCCATTTCATTCGTATACGCCATACCTAAAGCTAACATTCCATGCGATATGTCAAACCACTCCGTCATTATCCCATGCAATCCAACCGATCCCAGTTCACAAAATACCAAAATTTGCCAAATAGGAAAAAAAACTAAAACGCGAAAAGCCTACCACCCCAAAGCCCGTCGTTCAATGCCGTGAATCAAGCTCATGTTTGCATTGCCGGCTACACACACGCCCTGATAGAATCCAACCGTCCAACGTGCTAAGTGGGTGACATGAGAAATGCTATACTCAAGCACCGTTCTGAATCCATTCTTTGATTAGATAATTTTTTCTTGTTTTCCTTCTCATTTTGGTCTTTATTTATAAAGCTGGACAAGCTAGTATTTTGGTGTCTTATTTCTCATGTCACCCACTTCAATTGCCTGCCTTGCCTGCTCAGTCGCCTCAGGTGGAGCAGGATCGAGCTCAGGCTAAAGCGGCGCTGTGCAGGGAACCTGCAGATACTTAAGGTGGCATTGCCAGACGGTCTTTCTGGCTAGTTTGGATACATGACCGGGATTCCTAGGATCCTATTCACACTCTACAAGTCTCACCTTGAGGCTGGCATCTGCAGGAGGGGTCAGACCGGCGCACACCTCATCGGCGAATGTCAGCGTGCCGATCGCAAAGGGGACAGAACAATGTCTCGTCTGAAAACCCTTGCCACAATCGAGACCTGAAAGACAACGTGGCATAGCACACCGTGTACGTGGCGTACCTACATCCACAAGGGTGTGTATATGAGTACCGGGGGGGAAGAGGAGAGAGGCGCTCACATACATAGTGGAGGGTCGAAATGGACCCCTCAAGAACTTCCGGGTATCTGTTCGAAGGATCCAAGGTTGTACTACGCACAAACCGAATTCACCAGGCTTGCTTCCGCGGCCCCGCACTGCATGCCACCATTGTCTTCTAAGCCTTGTTGCATCCATGGATGTCGATATCAATGTTTCCCCTCGATCTAGCGGGGAGAAAAGATATCCATCTGTCCCGAACAGCTGAATACCGAGAGGGGGCCAGCAGAGCGAGATATGGGCATCTGTTGCTCTGGCATTTATAGTGGGTTCTCGTCCGAGCCGCATGAATTTCACCACGCAGAAGATTGAGCACTTGCCGTTCTGGAAAGTGCCTGCGTCACGAAAGCAAAGATTGAAACGGACAAAAGTGCAATTCGCTGCGGCCAAGTAGGTACTCGGTGAATAGGACGCTGATCAAGGAAGCTGTGCTATCTGGAGGCAATAGTAAGACGCAAGTATTACTGGGATTGACCGATTGCGCACACGTACAATACATTGCTTGCATACAGCCAAGTACACGCCAGGCAATAATGAGTAGCATGACTTCGACCTGCTACTTCAAGAGCCAAATTCTTAGTACAGCTGGACCGGACGACAGGTCGTATTCGGTGGTTGACACCAAACCCCACCTCCCATGTAGATACGTACAGGGACGACAACACACCAGACAGCAAGCAAGCAAGCACAGCATCCAGCACGGCCGGAGCTGTCCTCGGAACGGGGAGCAGCGGCAGGTCGAACAAGGGACTTTTGAGCTGGTCTCTCCCGATAGCAGCGCTCGCTGTTGATGAATCTGCTTCCTGCTTGCTTCCTGCTTGCCTCCTCGCCTTGACGCCCGGTGAAGCTTAGCTCGTCTCGCCCTGCTGGTTCAGACTAGCCACAGGCACCAGATCAACCATACTGGATGTGGTTGATGGCAGAGACAGGGAACGACCCTGGACCGCCTCGCCAGCAAACTGCGTCCAGCCATTCAAAGCAGCCAATTGGAGATAGAGCGGGGCACCTCCGCCCCTCCCAGAAACACCCATTTCACTGGCCCTGTCCGGCTCTTGTTGCTGTTTGCGAGTCATCGGCAGCCACGACACTCTGCATCAAACACCTCCGCTCCCCCTCCCAATATTGGCCGTCTCTCGTTCGTCGAAAGTCGTGCCAATCCTCGCCCGTCGTCTCTGGTCCTCCCATTCCGCGCCTCCTCGTTGGCCAGTTTCTGGGCCAATGTGAAATTAGCACCGTCTGTTTGCTGTGCCACTAACCAAAGCTCCCCCGCCCCACCCTCAACCACCCCCAGAACCCCGTCGGCTGTCTAAGACGTCCCCAAATCCTCGACAAAAGTGTCGTCGTATCTAATACATACACTACTCCATACTTGCAACTCCGTCGACTTGCCTTACCCCGGCAAACAGTTCGCACGGCGGTCTCTGCAGATTTGCCTCTTGCCTGTTGTTACATTGTCGGCTCTTTGTTTCCGCCCCGGTCTGTTGCTGGAGACTTTTGCCTTTTCCCGGTTCTAGCAGAAGCTTCGAGGCACTGCTGCTGGCGGCAGGATTTCTTCCACATCCTGTCTTTCCACAATACGGACGACATCACGACACTGACGCGGACACCGGCCAGCGATGCCCCTGCAAGACAGCACAACACCGACACACCGACGTCACTTTTGATGACCCGCCAGTTTCCCCTCCTCTAGTCAAAGACATCTCGACCCTAGCACGGAGCCCTGCTACGTAAAAGTGTATAAACAGCCTCGGTGGCACTCATCGCCATGTCTTCAGATCACCCATACGAGTCTCCTCCCTCCCCGCCTTCTCAAACACGGCCTCCTCGACAGCATCAACGAAATTCATCTGATGCCTCCTCTTTCATAAGCCGCCCGGCCGCCGATTCGCGCCAAAGTGCCTTTCCCTACTCCTTCATTCGAGCCCACCAAGCCAATCTCTCCTCTACGAGTCTTGTACCATCCACTGCCGAGGGCAAGCCTATTCCCGTTGACGATTCGACTGCCCAGCATCGTACATCTGCTCTGAGAGAGCTCAACAACAATTTCCCAAGCCGACATCGCTACGCTAAATCATCTGGAGCTCAGAGTAGTACTTACTCGGAACCAGTTATCGTTCGCAGTTACCACCCTCCCGTGGCGAACCGTCCTGCCAATAACTTCCCTAATCCTAGTGTTGGGATCATCCCTCAACGCGGGGGTTCTACCACTTCAGAGAGATCAGTCCTACCATTTGCAGCACTTTCATCAGCCGGCACTGGGATGTTGAGTCGAATGGTCCGCGCTCGCGAGAGCAAGCTCGCCATGGATGCTCCTAGCGAGGCGAGGCTTCCACCCGTAGACGCGTTCAGTTTCAAAAACTTCATCTCCAACATCGAGCCTCAAGAAGGGCGATCCGACATCAACGCCGATTTGGATCGTATTGCAGAGATCTGTGCCAAGTCGAGGTATTCTCTTAGCAACCAGTATGAGGTCCATTACGCCCCGCATGGTTCAGGCTCTTCTTTTCTTGAAGGTCCTGGTTCTGGTCAAGATACTCATGGCCCAACACTTCAAGTTGTGTCAGCCGATGACGAGCAGAATATGAAACGGAACCGTAGAAGGCGGCACGGTGCGCGTCCCAGCAGTCGGGCCATGGGAACTTTGGAAACAATCATATCATCCAGCCGATCGTCCGATGACGAGATATCCAAGAAGAAGTCGGCTGCTGAGCTCGCGGACCAGGTTCGTGGCCGGACCGTCAGAAGGGAGTCCCAAGCCACAACACCAACCAGTTCTATGCATAGCGACGCAATTGAGAACCGTGGTCAAGACGACAAAGGACCCAAAAAAGAAATGCAACGAAAAAAGTCAATGTCTCTGGCCCTTATTGATGGCACAGGTCAAAGTTCGGCACCAACGGACTCGTCTTCTCCCCGAAACTCTTCGGGTGCTCTAGTTAGTGAGCCTGCCCTCCCCCAGGCCTCAACTAGCCAGCTTGAAATTCGCACCGGCCCTGAAGTCTCAGCTCCGGGGCCAGACTCTCAGCGCGACCGGCAATGTTTGCTTTCTGGTCAGCAGAGTATTGGGAGACCCGTGGCCGCCAAGGGGGCAGTATCGTATCTTGACCAAGAACCCAGCCTATTGACTTCTTTCGGGAATTGGATCCCTTGGAAGTCATCTGACGCATCAAGTAAGGCCTCAGGGCGCGCCGAGGGAAGCCTCCGAAGCATTCTCCGTAATACGGATGTTAAAGGCAAGGCCAACGAGAATTCCTTTTGAACGATGCCTGGCGGCCCTCAACTTGGAACCAGACATGTTGAACTGTGACAGAAAATGGAGTTTTCTGTTTCCATTTTTATGACCATGCACGAGTAGAATTAAGCGGCTCGTCACTACCTATGGAAGGGAAACGGGGTGTGGTGTCTCAAATCAGAGTTTCGCCATGATGAACACCTACTTATGAAATTTATGATTTATATGACTCATGACGAAAACAAATTGGTTTACAAAACGAGGTGGACGAGAGAAGCAAACTCGCCGGCCCAACCATCCTGGGCATTTTCGCGTTGGAAACAACTGAGCTTTCGAAGGGTGACAACTTGTACCCGTTGCGGGGTTACGGATGGGTAGACTGTGAGGGAAGCTATTACATTACGACTTCATATTTTCTTGTCGGTATACAGATATATATATCCCAGAATGGCTGCGAACGACCGGTGGCAGATGATTCCACATTATTTAAGATATGTGCTAGCCCGGAAAGTAGGACTACTTAAACGGGCAAAATAGATATACTGGCATCAAAACAATCCCGCCATACTATGCTGATGTGATCCGATTCAAAGCAGCCCCCCCATCCCCAAGGATTTCGCAACGCCGTATAAGAACCCTCAACAATTAGAAACAGGTATGTCGACTGGCCATAAACAAACTACCAACCCTCCCCCTCCCTTGCCGCCATAATGCGACGGGTATCGCTGGACCCGAAATATTCCCCCAAGGTGTGATTTTTTTTCTTCTTATTCCATACAACGCCGCCTAATGATTTTAGTGCTCCTCAAGGTTGGACGCCTCCGGGACGTTTTCGACGGCCGTCGCTGGGGCGGCATCGTCTGTCATTGCATCCACATGTATCCTCTTTGGGTCTCTCGATTGGTCGATGCTGTCGTGCGATCGCTTCTTATCCCTCGCACGACTGGCAGCGGCAGCATCCTTACTGGCCTTGCGAGCCTCGCGGTCCCGCCTCTCATTTTCTTTGCGCAGGGCTTTGGACTCGAACTCGTGCCAGTCTCCATCGATACTCTTCAGCCTGTTGAGATACACGTTAGCATAGCTGTCGTCTTGAAATTGTAAACCTTTGAACAATATGATGTAAGCAACTTACTCTAACGCTTGCTTCGGTAGCGGTTCTTCTGTGGTAAAGTATGGATGCTGCAGGACCTCGGCCGCGTTTGGACGAGCAGCTGGGTCGTATCGAAACATGGCGGAAAGGAGGTCGAATGCGGCGGGCGTGACGCGCTCCCCGTACTTTTCTGCAAATACATTCTTCCTCCTCGCGGTTGGTCTGAGAAGTTCGAACCACGCCATGTCCACAAGGCCAGGCCAATCCTGTCGGTTCGGGGTGCCAAGAATGTTGTAGATCTTATCCAATTGACTGAGCTCTGTCCCGTCACCTGCAAAGATGGCGTGCCGCGTGAAAATCTCAACCATCACACATGCGGCGCTCCAAACATCCACAGCAGCAGTATATTTCGTCTCTCCTAGCAAAAGCTCTGGTGATCGGTACCATATAGTGATGACTCGGTTGGTGTAGTCAAGCTGGTGGTGCTTGGCGTAGAAGCGGGCCAGGCCAAAATCAGCAAGTTTCAGCACGCCTTCGTTGCTCACTAGAATATTCGCGGCTTTGATGTCGCGATGAAGGACCCCTCTCGTATGTAGGTAATCAAGCGCTTCAAACAATTGCTTTGCCATATGTTTCTTCTGTGCGGGTTCCATCTTGAAAGTTGGGTGATTTAGCAAGCCCGTCAAATCATGGGATAGATACTCAAACACCATGAAACAGTCGTTCTTCTCAACCATGACCTCCTGCAGGTTGACTATGTTTGTGTGCCGAAGAGATTGCAGTAGCTTGATCTCGCGGACGGCAGTGACAGGAAAACCATCCCGCTCCCCTTCCATGCGTATGCGCTTGAGGGCGACCAGGCCTTTGGTATAGACATTCAGACCCTTGAAAACCTTGCCATATGTACCAGAGCCTACGACGGACTCATTGCCGGGCTTCCTAAAGAAGACAGAGCTGGATGTTGCCAGCTCTTGGGGGAGACTCGGGCGGATTTTCGGTCTTCGTATGATCTTTTTCACTTTTCGCATTCTGGGTGCAACTCTGGGCCCGTCCCTAGGCCCGTCCCTGGACTCGTCGGGTGGACCTCTTCCTCTCCCCTCATTACGGTGACGCGCGGATGCTGGCTCAGTAGGCGCAGATCTTGGTGGTGCCGGGTCATGTTGATGTTGCTGATTTGATTTAGTTGACTCCTTATTATGTTGAGGAGCGGCATTGAATTTCTGTGAGATTTCGGGTTTCGGGGCAGTGGCTGCAGGCTTTGAAGCCTTGAAGGCGAAGCTGAATTTGGCAGACGAATTGGATTGTCTACTTGGCCCGGTTGGCGGTGGCCGTCCTGATGGCCCCCGGGGAATACTTGTTGATTGATCCCCCTGATTGGAAGCCCCTTCGTCTTCATCTTGTGGTCGAAAAGTATCCTCGTTTGTCTCGGGCTCGCCATTCGTGGGTTCATCTTCCATATGGATTTCATCATCTTCGTGGGGTTCCTCTTGCGAATAGTGACCTCGCGAAGATTGTGAGTGATTGCCGGGACCGAAGTTCCCATTCTTGTAGTTAGATCCTCGATGGTTCCGCCCTTGATAAGGGGCACCACCCCGGGACCCGCCTCGATGCCCACGGTGATTTCCCGGTGGCGGCCCTGAGTACGAGGGCGAGCGAGGAGGGTTCTGATGATAGTATCCTGCTGGGCCGCCAGATGGCGGATAGGAACCAGATCCTTCGTTGTATGGATATTGACTGCATCATGTATTAGCAAAAGTTAAATGCCGGAAATTGTATGTCGACTTACTGTGGGGGCGAGTATGATGCACCACCCCAACTACCTCGTCTGGGTCCATATGATGATTGCGAAGGTGAGTCATGGTATGAACCTACTCGGGGAGGGGAAGGGGGATACGGGCGGGAATCACCACGGTAGGATTGTTTTTGAGAGAATTTGGGATGGTGCCCTCTTCTGTGTGATGCCTGGGAGCCCATCTTATCATTAAACTCTGGTTGGGACGGACTATTGGGTCTGTGGGCTTCACTCCAACGCCTTCTGTCTGGATGGATCGGGGGTGAGTCGGATGTGTGAGCCCTAGAATCCTCGGGATGATGGTCACCCTCTTCAGTGTTTGATGGGGCGTCTGCGGTAGCAGGTTGCGGCTGCTGGTAGCGTTCAAATGATGACCGACGGGAGTTCCTGGACGCGTGGCGATCGTCACCAGTTGGGGATGGACTTCGAGAGTGTGAATGATGGTCTAGTCTCACACGTCTTGACTCCTGTCCGCCAGAATGGCCACCGTCCTCAGGAGCCCTGGGAGACACGGGGCTTGAATGGCGGTTGGACAGAGAATTAGCGTTCTCGGCCCGGGACGGGGACGCGTGCGGGCGAGGTGACTGGCGATGTTTCGAAGAAGGTCTGCGACCTCTCTTGAAGCTGTGCTCGGCTCGATTATCGTTCCTGTTGCGAGGATGACCCTGATAGCCCCTGCGCTTCTTCCGCTGCGAAGCCGTGAAAGACTGGCTGGAGCTCCGGCTTCGTTGTCGCTTGGATGACGATGGCGAAAGGTTTCGATCACGGTCGCGACCGGACCTGCCCTCAGCCTCTCGATCACGGTGGGACTTGGCGCTGAAACGCGGAATCAAGTCATTACTCTTGTCAGCTCGACGGGTGTCACCGGGGGAGGATTGTCGTTGATAGTCTTCGGGCTGGTCGTCCGTCGAGCGGTGCTGTGGGTTCGAGGCACGGTCGTTGCGTCCGGGCCTGCGTCGACGGCTTCTACTGGCAAAATTGTTGCGGGGCCCGCGAGGAGGTGTTCCAGTTTGATCCGAGGAATCTAGGCCCCTACCGACTCGAGCCCTTTGCCGGTGGTCATTGTTATCCCCAGCGTCTCTCATGGCAGCAGGTCGAGGGCGACGTAGTGGAGGCTCTGGAGATCCCCCATTGCGACACCCCATTTGAGTTTTTAGTGTTGGTCGCCAAACTAAATGCCCGTACCTTAGCCGAGCACCACCCCCCAGCACAAGGCTGCCAATGGTCGTGTCGGCTTGCAATGAAGCAGGCAGAGCAGAGCAGGCAGAGCGGCTGCCCGGTGAAAATAGTTGCGGAAATTATTGCGCGTCAAGGAATAGATGAAAACGAAGCGAGCTGCAGGAACGGAACGAGGGTGGTGCTGGTCGGCGGATGATGACAAAAAAGGCAATGCACTGTCCGAGGATGCGACGTGTGGGAATTTGGATGCTTTTTGGCGTCGCAAACACCTTCTGTCATCCACTGAGACGAGATTAAATGCCACTGCCAGGGACCCGGCCAACTACACCAGGGGAGCAGCTGGATCTGGCCCAGAGCAACAAACCATGGCAGGCGAGGTTTCTTAATGCACTTGCAGAAAGACGAAAGCCATTCCTCCCCTCCCTCATTCTTCAGCGGACTGCCGCCAAGCCAACCACCTGCATCAAATGTCCGTGGTGGGAGCCATCTTCTTAGCGCACCACAAGGGAAGACCGAGCAAGTCGTTGCTGGCTCTGGTGCAACCAGCACACGCTCAGAAATTCCCTGCCCCCATTTCTCATGCCTGTCATGGACAAAGGCTAGGTAGACAGACAGTAGAGCTTGTGAGTCAATCAACGCACACTATATACGAGATCCTCCCGGATCATTTTACGAATCCCCCACTCTCCACCCAAGGTCTCGACTGCCTGTTCTGAGGAACATCATTTGTGAGGCCTGCTGGGAGAATTTCTGAACAAAACTTGGAGCATGGCAGAAAGAGAAGAGGCTCGCCACGCGCCTGAACCTGCATGCAGCACGCACTCTAGAAGTGGAGGCGATTGCCGACTTGTCTGACGGGCAAGTTGACGGACAGGCAGGCTGACAGCCAGGCATCAATAAAGGCGACAGGAGGCAAAGAGAAAATCCAGGTTTCCGTAGTTGCACAACAGTCCGTCCATGCGGGGTAGCCCCCCCCACAGGCCATTTGCTCTGTTCCCCCTTCGAATAACTTATTAGTTCCCCGTTGATGAGGGATCTTGGTCACGGCTAGGAGGCCTGCTGGGCTGGATGAGTATTTGGGGGCGCCTGGCCGCGGCGTATGTATCCCAGCTGCGCCATCACATAGTGATCTAAAGGGCGGGAAAGCCAAACAATATTGGCCAACCCGACATAGCTTATCCGACATTCGTCACCAGCGAGCTAGTTAGGAAAAACACTATCGAAACTCACAGCAACCAGCGCGGCCGGAGTTCCAGAAACACCGATGGTTGGAAGCGATGTGCTCGTCCGCGTCCCTTGACATGAAGAAACATGTATGGAGGGAATAATATGTAGTCCTGGCCCTAGTGTGACCGCCGCCGAGAACGAGTATCGGTGTAATGCACGCCTGAAATACGCGATAGATATACGACGGCCGGTCGTTGGCCATGAACCGGCATTTAAACGTAAGGTAATGTTGATTTCTCGATGATTACAACGATGGCTTGCGAAGCCAAGGTTGGCTGGTGCCGGGTCGAAGCCTGAATGGTACGCATGATTGCAAGTACGCCAGCTAGAGTTGAAAACCTAGAACCTGCGGCGAAGACGCAGATTGAATCAGATCAAGTGTAAATAGCCGATCGCCCTGTCGACGGTTGGGCTTTGCGCTTCGCTGGGTCTACTATGAGGATCGAGTGTAGCTGGTGGTTTGGTTAGGTAGCGGTTGTGGGTTGATGGGCAAACGTAACCCACCTTTGGAGGCTGGATCACGTGCGCTACAGTGGACATCAGCCACCTTAGGGATCAGAGCGCCATCACAGTGGCTGTTGCCCCTCATTCTCCCTCCCTTCTGCATAATTCAACAGTTAGGAACGTACATGCACAGAACTTGATACAAGATTGCCCATAATTTTCAAAATTGAGGCTATCGCCCCTTTTTACGATACTTGAAGTTATGTCAGAGTGCACTTTGTTGGATACCTTACTTCACCTTGCACCACGCAGCGACTACCAAGGTTGGGCATGTCAGAGTGGCATCTGAGACCACCTCTCCTATCACACATGTTGTCACGAATTTGGTCTAGTGATATTTTTTGGGGGTGAGAAATAGCTAGTATTTGTATATGCGAGCGCAAAATGGCACTATTTCCACCTATTTAGATTGCTATATTGGTTTCTCGGTAATGACTGTGTTTCATGACGAAAACCATCATGTATCAGATTTCAATTCGGAAAGGACAGTAACTGGACGCTAGGTCCGACGCCTAGAAAGGCCAAAGATCAATTTGGAGCTAGCTTAGAAAAGCTTGTGCTCGAGGGTCATGTCGGACTCGGGTTCGAGACCAACGCAGGCGCGGAAGATGTTGGTGACGGCGGCGCGCTGCTTGGCAAGAGCATTGACAACCGGAGTTCCGGGGGGAGTCAGCGGAGCCTTGAGCATGTAGCTCAGGACGCTGAGAACACTGTGGAAGTTCTTGAAGTCGCCAGTGTCGGAGCCGTTGGCGGAGGCAGCCTTCCACTGGATACGGGTCATCATTTCGGCCATGACAACCAAGTCGATGATCAGGGGCGAGGCCAGCAGAGAGTCCTCGCAAATGTTGAACAGCCTGGGGAAATGTTAATAGATAATACCTTGCTTGTACGGGATCTGGTAAACTTACGAAATGGTCTGGTGACCACCGAGGAAAATCTCAGCATAGTACTCATCCAAGGCACGCTTGTTGTCGGCTACCGCGGGCATATACTTGATCACGACGCAATGGTCGGGGTGCTCGCCCTTCTTGTAAAGAATATGGTTGGCTTCAACCATATCGTCCACGACATTGGACTTGGAGATCTCCTTGGAGCGGAACTGCTTCTGGGAGCTCAGGTTCTTACCGTCGTTGTTGCCCAGGTGATTGTAGCTGGCGATGGAGGTCAGCTTGATGCCGGCATTGATGAGGAAGTCAACAAGAGCGGATTTCATCTTGGTCTGGCCAGACTTGAAGTCATCACCGCCAATGTAGGCATTGTGCTTCTCTGCCAGCTCAATAGCACCGGGAACAAAGGTGTTCTGAGGAGATCCGTTGATAAAGGGAGTGTTCTCAAGGATACAGGCCACGGCGAAAACGGTGGAGGGGGAAACCTCCTCGTGGCCCTGCTCAATCGACTTGAGAAGGTTATCAGCGGTATCATTCACACCCTCGATGATGTCGGCATAGCGCTCAGTGTTGGCGGTCCACATCACGATGACTTTGTCAAGACCATTCTTTTCCTTGAAGTCTCGAATGTCTTTGCGCAAATGCTCAACGTGGGCCAGAGAAGCCTTGCTACCTTCGATCAAATTGTCCGCACGATCCTCCTGGTTGGCAGCAATGAAGTCAGGATAGTAGATGGAAGGCAATGGGACGTAAGAGGCCATCTCCTTCTGAACCAGAGCCTTGAGGCTGGGCTCCAGAACCTTGGAACGATCCATAGCCTCAGCAAGGTTCAGCTTGCTAATGTCCCAGCCGCCAATGACAAGATCATTGGGGTGGACCATTGGCAAGATCTGGTGGAAAGGAATATTGACATCCTTGTGAGTTTTGGCATCGGTTCCCAGCTTCATTGTGGAGCCCATGACAACGGAGCCATAGTAATTGGCCTCCTGCTGTCCCTCCTTGGTCGGCCAGACGAGGTTGCGGCGGTTGGCAATGATACCGGCGGTGACAGTCGTACCGTTGTTACCGCCCCAGCCGACAAGCATCATACCGGTCTTGGGCACCTTCCTTTCGACCTTGAAGTCGTACACAGTCTCAGTCGGGGTGGCCACGAGCTTGCCATCCGGGTTTGTTTCGACCTGAGTAGTACGATAGGTGTACTTGGACTTGATTTCGTTATCCGTGTAAGTGACATTGGGAGAGTTGACTGTGAAGACATCATAGGCGGCAGTCTGGACAGTGCTCCCGTTTCCGTTGGAGTTACCCCCGTTAGCGGATCCCGCATGCTCCTCTGCGTGAGGGGCCATGTTGGCTAATTGGAATCCGGAGATTATTGTCAGAAGGTCTTGTTGTAGTTTGGACCTTTACTGAGTATCGATCGAGTCCGCTGCTCCACCAGGGGCGGCTGAGCGGCGGGATCCGCTGAACGGGTTGTGAACGCTAGAGAAGACATTAGCAGGCCATTCGAAGTCTTCGCTGAGACCCAGGGGACTTACGAGTTAAGGAGATTGGAGAACGTCTTGGCGACTTAAGTGATCGAGGTTATGAGCCCTCGATCTATACTTTATGTGGCTGTTGACGAAGTCCGAATCGGAGATCGCGGGGTAGCGGGGCAGTGATACCAGCTGGTGGTAAGCTGCGAGGGATTGAACTATGGGTTTTGATTGAGGGTTGTTCTGGAGCAAGAAACTGGGGTTCTAGGACGATAGTGTTTGTGGGTTGGAAAGAAAGGAAGAGAGGAAGTGGAAGTGTCGGAAGCTGGGCAGATTATTATAGTGTATTCCCTTGTTGTGCGGAAGTGGATAACATGCGATGTGTTGGGGCAAGTGGTACGTAAGATAACGGTGTTGTATCTGCCAAGAGCAGCACTGATCCAGCGGTGAGAGCTATTATCGGGATTGAGCAATTGTCCGTTGCTTTTCGACACTTGGGCAGACCCGGAATTGGGCAGAGCGGGCTGCGGTTGCGGCGGTCGGCGCGCGATATACCTGCAGCCCGCACTGGAGAGGCCCTCTACGATGTGCGGATGGCGCTAGGTCGGATGTTGCGGGCGAGGCACACGAGCGATGATGTGCCAGGTGCATCCAACCGACGTCGTAATACATTATCTATGTATGCAGAATCCTATTGGCATGCTGTCTACGGCCGGGTCCCTCGCTCACTTCGGGCAATCCCCTCAATGTCCGTGCTGGCCGGCGATCATGATCGAAGGCACTAACAGGACAGACTGGCGCTATGTTGATGCTGTC